GAGAGGCCTCCTTCGGTGGAGTTGTGGAGGGGACAGTCATGCACAGCCCTGAATTTTTTCCCGCCTGCAGGAAGCGTCAGTCGTTGGTAATCGGCGTATGAGTGAGGTCATGTAGTGCGCTCTCGTTGGATTTCACTAAGCTGGAAAATGACTGAACAACGTGAGCAGCGATATTACATCAAATTTTGCCAAAAACCTTGGCAATACCCGAGTGTAAACCATTCGCAAGATTCAGCAGGCTTTCGGGGACAATCCTCGAGGCCAAAAAAAGTGCGGCAGGTCCGCAGCAATATCAAAGGTCATGTTGACAGTTTTTTCGACTCTCTTGGGGTGGTGTGTCGTGAGTACGCACCGCAAGGCCAAACCATCGCAAAGGAGTACTACCAGGAGGTCCTTCGTCGTCTTTCCGATACAGTGCAACGCAAACGATCGGATCTGTGGTCGATCAAAACTTGGCAGCTCCATCGTGATAACGCATCCATCCATTCTGCACATCTGATTCGGGCTTTCGTCGCCAAACACAATACTCCTGTGGTTCATCACGCTCCGTACTCTCTCCACATGGCTCCGTGTGACCTTTGGCTATTTCTCAAGCTGAAAATGCCGCTAAAAGGAACCCAAATTTAGTCGAGAGAAGACATCGTGCGAAATGCGACGGACCGGCTGATGGCCATTCCAAAAGATGCGTTCCAGCAGTGTTTCCAGCAATGGCAGGAACGCTGGGAGAAGTGTATACATTACCAAGGAGACTACTTTGAAGGGGATTAGGGTTTTGTACCTCAAAGTCAATAAATTTATTTTTGCCGACCAAAGGTCCGATACTTTTTGAACAGACCTTGTATAGTGCTGGATGTAACTGAATACTGCTTGCACTCCTAAAAAATATGTGGTGATTTAAAAGTCCTTGGTATGCTGATGGGTATGCAAGATGGTTTTACTAAATTTTATTGCTTTACAAGCATGAAGAATAATTGTTCTATTGAAGAATACTGTATTATGTCAGACATGACTGGGAATGAAGAACTTTGAGAAACATGGAGGACATCCATAATCTTCCACTGATAAACCCAAAGAAAATATTAGTCCCACCTCTCCATATAAAGTTTGACTTAGCCAAAACCTTCATCCTAACATTAAGAAGAACAATTGAAATGTATGCTGATTTGTACACTTGTTCAATTAATTGAATTCACCAGAAAACACTATTAAAATTTGTGGATATTTTTAGGATACATGTTTATATGAAGCTTCCAATGTTTACAGAGAAGACAAAAAAGTGTTTGATAAATTTTATTTTAATATTATATTGTTGATTTTGTGAAACATTATTTGAACATTATTTCTCTATTATTCTTAAAGGTATTTTGAACACAATACAACTAATTGAAAAGTTTACACTTAACATTTTATTTATAAATTTCATAGTAACATTAAAAGGTTATATTTAAGATAATTTATTCAAAAAAATCTTTCCATAATTTGTTATTGAACATGTGCGATTCATTACAAATTATATTTGAATATTATTAATGACTTAAATTCATATTAATCAGAAATATTTATATAATAATTACTTTTGCACATTATAAAAAAAAAAATAATTATTATTATAATAATTTCCAGTAATAAAGCTTTTAGAAGCTGGAGTGGATCCTTGTGCTGCTGATGATAGAAAGAGAACAGCCTTGCATTTTAGTGCTTGCAAAGGTTACACTGATATAGGTAAAATGTTCTATGAAAAATTTTAATTATTATTTAAATCAATAATGAATGTAATTAAGTAAAACACTGTAAAAAATTAAATGTGGTGATTTCAGTTTTTCAATTTCATTCATTTATTTTTTCAATAGTTTCAAAGTGTAGTAAAATTATTTGTTAAATTTAAAAAAATGATAGTAAAATTTTGTTTTCATACAATTTGTTAAAAAAAAAAAATAATAATAATGATAATAATAATTGTTGACAAAACTGCGTCAAACAGTTGGTTAGATCGAGGATGCCTCTTTGGGGAGACAGGAGGATTCATGATTGCCATACAGGATCAGGCCATAAATACTAAAAACTACAGAAAACACATACTCAAAGATATAACACTCACAAATGACATATGCAGAAAATGTCACATCATGCCAGAAACTATACAACACATTACATCTGGGTGCAAACTCTTGCAAGCACAGACAGATTATTTACACAGACATAATCAAGTAGCAAATATAATACACCAAGAGCTTGCAAACAAACACAAATTATTAGAGATCCACAAACCACAGACAGTATTGGAAAACAACACACAAAATGTACTACGACAGAACCATAATCACAGATAAAACAATTTACCACAACATACCAGACATCACACTCATTGACAAACACAATAAAATCACATACATTATAGACATATCTGTTCCAAACACTCACAATATACAAAACACATTCACTGAAAAAATTAGCAAGTACACAGAACTTGCCCACGAAATAAGGCATCTGTGAAGAATGGAAAGGGTGCTTATTGTACCTGTCGTTCTCTCCTGTACAGGTGTGATACCACACATACTATACAGAAGCCTGGGAACATTACAATTGAATAGAAATACGTACTGTACATCACACTACAGAAGGCCACTATATTGAATACATGCCGTATTGTTAGGAAATTCCTGAATACAGACACTAACACATTTATTTAATTTTAGTTTTATTTTGGTTGCTATGCTTTGACTCTGGTCCGGCATAGTACACATTTACCGGTGTGAACCGAGTATAACCCACTAAACCCAATATAATAATAATAATAAACATACAGACAACTGCAAAAAACTCCAAATTAAACTAAAATGAAACAAGTAAAACTGCAAGGCCAATTTTGGGATGAGACTATGTTTAGGAGACTCAGGGCTCAACTTTGCATCGTTTTTTAAGGAAAGCAGAAAAATGAGCACTAACCAATGAGGAAAAGCCGACACTGGTATTTGGGGACCTGGCGTAGATTACGGCAGGCTTTGTTTCTGCCGTGGTTACAAAGGTTACGTTGTCATGGGCCTGTTCTTGGCTATGGTAAGTGGGAAGATATTTGTACTTGAATTGTCCTGATGTTGCTCTTGTCTTTTTGCAGGATGGCAAAATGACAAAAGCAAGAGAGTACACATGTAACATGTGTCACACATTTGTCAAAATTCGATTTCTTAACGTTTGCATTTCAAATTTCCCAACAGTAAATGCATGTGAAAATCTCACACTAGCTCCTGTTTGTAGAAACAGTGTCGCCATTTTGTATTTTATTTTGACTCAATTCTTGGTCCTCTGACTACCTACAAGTCTGGTTTTTTTATGTGCACCTGATTTGGGCACCAAATACTCTGTGCCAAATTGCAACTCCTGACATATACTCCTTCATACCTCTAAGGTGTGCAGCTGTTGACAGTAGAGTAATTTAATAGACAAGACATAGTCTCGTCACTGATACATAATACTTTATTGAATAAATAATTACATAAAATGATAAATATAAAAATAAATTTGAATATATGATATGAAAATTAATTATTTATTAATGAAATGAGACTAAAATAGCATTTAATTTTATGTTTACATTCAAAGGCAACTCAACTATAAACCAATTCTTAATAATGACAAGAATGCTGACATCTATTAAATAGCAGTGATATGTAGTGTTCCATTTGATTAATAATTTCAAAAAAAAATTTGATTATATCATTATATAAAACTATTTAATCTTAATTGCATAAAGAACCTTTTGACTTTAAATGGCAAATTAAAATAGATATATCTATTTTAATTTGCCATTAGATATCTTATATATCTAATATCATTATCATATCATTAGAATTTGCAAATAGATGTATCTATTTGATAATAGAAAAAAGGTTATTGGAGTACCAAGTATGAAACTAAGTTTTCTGTATGGACTGGTTTTTGTAGTCAATTAAATTATTATAAACAATTCTTAGAATATTTAATTTAAAAAAACCAATCCTGTTCAATGGAGTCCATCCAATAAAAGGTGTGAAATTATGTAACTTTCTAACAGTTGTTAGAACGTTACACAATTTCACACCTTTTATTGTTCGGAAAGTAATTTTGTTTTTTTACCACTAGATGGATTAGTCGTATTTTTTCTGCCATTTTCATTCTAAACCGTATTTTCATTATATATTTTGACAGCTGGCATTTTAAGGCTTATTTGTAAAAAATTTTGTTTGATTTTGTGCAATTGTTTATTTTTTGTGGTCCATCAAATATGGAAGATCGAAAGCAGCATTTTCGGCATATTTTGCTCTTTTATTACCGAAAAGGTAAGAATGCTGTTCAAGCAAGAAAAAAATTGCGTGACGTGTATTGAGATGATTTATTGACAGAACGACAGTGCCAAAACTGGTTTACAAAATTTCATTCTGGCAATTTCAATATTGAAGACGCATCACGTTCTGGATGGCCAGTTGAAGCAAATGAAAACAAAATAAAGGTACTGATTGAAGCAAACTGCCAAATAACAACACGTGAAATCACTAAGAGATAAAATTTGTCAAATTGAACTGTTTATGATTACTTGAAACAAATTGGTTTCGTTTCAAAGCTTGATATATGGGTTCCACATGTTCTTAAAGAGAGATGCTATCTCTGGTAGGATTTTATGGAAATTTTTTTTTGGCACTTTTACCAGACAATTTAACAATTGATTCGAAAGTGTACTGCCATCAAGTAAACAAATTGAGTAATATCATCAGACAGAAAAGGCAGCCAGAATTGATCAACAAAACAGGTGTAGTGTTTTATTACGATAATGTGAAATTTCACATAAGTTTGTTAACTGGTCAGAAACTGTTATAACAATAAATAAATTATAAACAAATTGTACAGGATGGAATTTTAATGATATATAATAGTATAGATGTCTTACTTATAAACTTGTATAACTTTGATAATTTATGGATATCTTTATTTTTATGAAAGTTTATTATTTTATGTTTTTTTCTGACAATAATAATATGATTTTAATGCAGCATTCTAAAGTTATTATTTTTATATGAATATAAAAAAATTTTCACAGCAAAATTGCTATTGTTTAAATATAATAATTGTTCTGTAGTTCATTAGAATATGAAATTCTTATGCAAATACATATGAATTATATTCTCATACAATCAATTGCTATTTATTTAAAAAAAGGAAAATATTTGTTAGTAAAATTCTTTAATAATTATAGTTAACTCTTCAGCAGTTTTAGCCAGTTCTAACTTTCAACTTATTCAGTTTATTCTAAATTGTTATTAAGTATTCAATTATTATTAGAAGGTTGTCTTACTCATTAATTTTGTATTTTTTCTACTTTTTAGAAGTAATAATTCTGTTAATTATGATTATATATTATATGATTGATTATAAAATTATAACTTTATAAATTGCATTTTTAATAGAATTATAAATTTTTAATATAAAAATATATAATATATGAAATTTGTGATTATTACAGTTAATTTTGTTAAAGTTCATTTATGAATATATAATTAAAAATAATATAATTAATTCATGATCTGAAATTTGTAGCTATGGTCCTCCTTGATAGAGGTGCTAATCCTAATCAGAAAGATGTTGTTGGAAATACACCTCTTCATTTAGGTAAATTAAATTTTTTTAATTAAATTAATTTTTATCTTATGTGGTTAACTAATATACAAGCTTTGTTGATTATTGTATGTGATATAAGAAACTTCCATCTTTCAGAAAACTTATGAATATTCATTTTTAATTAATGATTTTTTACAAAACTTATATGATAAAAATAAAATAAAAGAATAAAATAAAATTTGTTTGTGACAAAATGGTAGGAAAAATACAAATTACAAGTACTTATGCAAATTTTTTTTATTTTGAAATAAACATCTGTAGATTATAATAATATAGATTTAAAATTGTAATAATTTTTAAAGTTTTTAGTTTTGAATTAAATACACTTTGTAATTTCAGAAATATACCAAGCCTAAAGCAAATTACTAAATTGCTTTCTCATTTTTAAATATTCAAAATGAAAAGAAGAAAAAAAGCTGTATTGAGATTACTGTTTATAAAGAGAATTATTGAAAAAAAAATTTTTTAACAACTAATATAACAAATATTTATATGCAATATATTCTTATAATTTGTTTATTTTTCCAGCTGCTTGTACAAGCAATATACAAATGGTCACACTTCTTTTGAAATCAGGTAAATAGTTTTTTAAATATATTTTATTTTTAGTTTTTCCAGGATTTGATATGGTTTAAAATAATTATAGAATTTTTGTGATTAAAACTGTTGTTATTAATTCAACAAATTGAACTAAAAAGCATTTTATTTTTATACATTTTTAATGATTAATATTTATTAATTTATGGTTAAATCATCTGACCATAAATTAATAATTTGAGTGATTTAAGCGTAAAAACAAGTATTAAAATATGTTGTTATAAAAAAATACATCAGCTAACCAAGAAGATTTGTGTGGTTTTATAAAATTACTAGTTTGAACATTATGTAATATTCATTATTGATGGCATGTTATTGTTATTTCCATTGTTATTTACTTTCACAGAAATTTAAAAAATTTTATATGTATAGTTGTTTACAATAAATGTGAAAACAGATGTCAAAATGTTAACTTCAAATACAGTTATTTGAGCATGTTTACTTTATGAATTTAAACTTTAGACAAATGCTGAATAAGCTTCCAGAAATTCAGAGAAGGGATGGTTAGTGAATGCTTGGCCTAAAAATGGTAAAAAAAATTTGCATCACATGATGATTCTCTTAAAGATGCACTTCAAAAAGAAGGAAATCAGCCATTGATGACAAATTAAAGAATGCCTTTGAACCATATTTGAGTCAAACATGAGGACAGGAAGATTTAGTAAAAGTGATAAAACCATTTATCTGCACTTGCATTGACTGAGAAAAGTATATAAATTAAGCAAATGGGTTCTACATGAACTCATTTGCTTAATTTAGATAGAATTTGTTTTCTACTGTGACAGTAGAAAACAAATTCTAGAGATTTTCAATTTGTTTATCTCGTCATTCTCAGTATAAGATCAAACTGTTTTTGAACAGACTACTGAAAAATGGATTATGTACTGCAACACTCAAGTGATCTTATCATTGGCTATCTTCTGGGGAACCTGCATCTTCCATGTCAAAACCTGCACTTCAACAGAAGATTTTGTTATTATGTTTGATGGAATATAATAAGTACTGTTCATTGAACTCTTACCCTCAAGCCAAACAATCACAGGAGAAGTTTACTCTGCTCAGCTGTAATGTATGGATGAGAAGCTTTTCCAAAAACAACAAGAGTTAATCACAAAGGTATTGCATTTCTTCAAGATAATGCAAAATTTCACACTTCAAGTGTGATTGGGAAAAGCTCCATAGTCTTTGTGAAAAATTCTACCTTACCCACCATGTTCACCAGACCTCTCATCATTTGATTTTTTACCTTTTGTCAATCATGTGCATAACCAACAATTTTGAAATAAAGAGGAATTAGAAAAGAAATTGAATGAGGATAAAAAATATTTTTGTTTTATTTTACTGAGATTTTAATTTTGTCTTAAAAAAACCACACAAGCTGTTTTTGGATACCTGAAAAACATACAACAAACATTTATGAATATATATACTTTTATCTAGTAAAAAATGTGTGTACACTCTTTATTAAATCAATACATAAATTAGTTAAATTTGTGAATTTTGAAATTTTTTATTTTAGGAACTGATGTGAGTGCTTTGGATAATTCAGGTCGAACACCACTTCATCTTGCCCAGTCAAAATTAAAATTATTACAGATTGATACACAGTATTCATCTAGTCAATTGAAAAAAGAAGTTTTGCAGGTTTGTTAAATTAATATAGAAATGCTTAAATTTTTATCATTAATTTAAAATAGTTTATTTTATTTATATTAAAATTAGGATGTCTCTCATAAGCCAAATTCATCTTAAAATGTAAAGAATATTTTTTTCTCAAAAAATTTCAAGAAAACAGTTTTTCTAATTGATATCCTGTATTTGTATAGTATTCAAATAAAACAATTTCAATATTGTAGTTTGAATATTGAGTTTACTGCTTTAGCTGAAGATAAATTTTATGAAAGAAAAGTAAATCAAAAACTAATAAGCATTAATAAAAATATTTTTAGTTAATAATCTTGATTTAAATTTATTTGCAGTTTTCTTTATTAACAGTTATTTTTTTTAATATTAAATTTATATTAATTAACAGATTTTATTGGTAAAATGCATTTGAAATTTAAACTTCTTTAATTTGAATTAAAGAAATTGATTGAGATTTGTTTGCTATAAATGTGGATATGATATAAGATGTACTAATTTTGAATTTTTAAAATAAAACTAAAAAAAAAATAGTATATGGTTTGCTAGTTGCTAGAATGCATGTATGAGATATTTCAAAAATTTCTTCAAAATATATATATTTGTGTTGACTTTTGGAACGTGAGTGAAATTGTGATATTTTCACAATATTAGTGACATTTGAGTACAGTTAGACAATTCTGCTATGATTTTACAATATCTAGCTTCAAAAGTTGATTATAGTAAGACTTAAATTAAGCAGTTCTCAAATTAACATAGTGTTATTTTTGAGGATAGATTCATATTTGTAAGCTACTGGCACAAATTCAGCAAATACTTGAATGAAAATACATGACAATACTTAGCAATAGAGTAGCCATCTTGTTGACTTTGTGGACAAATTTCACTAAACTTGCCACATGAGAAATAACTTGGCTACATTTGACTATATAGTCAAATAGATAAGTAATTTTAATCTTTCTTAATTTATTTTATTTTTATTTTTAGAAATTTAGCTATTAAATATCACATTATTAAAATTTTCAAAATCTTTTAATGGATTCTAATACTTTATTTTGATATAGACTTAGTAATTGAAATGATTTTTTTGTTAAAATAAATTCATTTTAGGTTATAGATATGATGCAAATATATCTACAGAGATCTGGGAAGTCTGCCGAAGTAGATTTGCTTAACTCATTTTCCAGTCGTCTGCACTATCATCAGACAAGAGAAGAAGTAAGTTATTTCTTAGTCCTTGAATAAATGTAAAAAACTTCATTCAATAGGAAGGATATTATAAATTATGTAATACAGTAGAGCCTCGAAAACTCGGCCTAATGTGGACCGAAGGATGGCTGAGTTTGTGAAAATGCCGGGTTATCGGGAATGGGGTTAAAAAAGGATAAGTATGCATGTTTTCTCAGAAAATATTGTACTATACTTGTATATATTGTTTGCTTGAGAATACAACAGAGAATAAACTGCCCAAATACCCTTAAACAAAGGAAAAGTATGTCCTTTATGAAGGCATAGAGCATTTACTACATGAAAATGAAAATTAATGAATACACTGTGTACAGTAATTTACCTGATAAGACAGACCTCAGAAAAGCATAAAGCTGTCTACAATGAAAATTATCTAGCCGACTCCCAAGTCCTTAGCCACTGCACTGACACTTTCTCCGTTATCCAGTCTCTTAATGCCAGCAACTTTTGCTCCATAGACATGTTCACTTGTTTTCTTTTAACGGAAGATGCCATCGCAGAGTACTGTTGTCTTGATGGAATCGTTTAGATGTATGATTCCCGCATTTTTCCTCTTTTTCAAACAAGCAACGGTTGTCGCCATAGAAATACGGATCGAGAAACGACCATTAGTTTTGAAAACAGAATAGATGATTGGCCTTCGATCATCAGACGATCGCACGGACCTCCAATAGGACTACGAAGCGCTCATTGGTCAATCAGCACTATCTTCATTCCATGTAAAAAGATTAAGTTTAAACGGGAAAGTTAAGTTCGCCTAAGTTTGTTTTCGCCCTGCCAAGGTGTGGCTGAGTTATCCAGAGTACTGTAATATAGAAAAAATTTTTTTGTAAAGAAACAAATGTTTTAATTCAGTTGATAAGTATTTTACAAAATTAATCTATAATATAGTAGTAATTAATCTATAATATAATTAAACAAGTTATTAAATAATTTTTAAAATAATGATAAACGGATTCTAAAATTCTAGTTACAAAACAGATTATTTAATCAGAAACATGATTAGTCATATCTTTGGTCATCTTCAGCTTACAGAATAAATAAATAAATAGAATAGAATTGTTTATTCTGTAGGATGAAGATGACAAAAGACATAATCAAAAACATTTCTGATTAAATAATCTATTTGATAACCAGAATTTTAGCAGTTGTTATCATCATTAATTTTAGCAGTTGTTTGTTTTATAATTATTGGGCTGGAATTTGAAAAAATTGTAGACCTATAAATTCTCAGTTTTCCATCTGTTCTTCTTTAATCTCAAGAATGGAGTTATATAGATGAAAACTGAGACTAGATATGGAAAGATTAGGGGCAGGAGGTCCTGATTAACTATATATGAACTTCCAATGCAAACTGGAAATCACATTTCAATTCAAAAATTTTCCCCATAAAGGAGTTAGATGGGTCACCACCAAACTTTTTTTCACAGTTGGCCAGATAGAAAATGACAAGCATGGGTCATATAACCATATTGTTCGATACAGTATAGTATACTGAATATACAAAAAATAAAGTCGATATATTTATTTATCAATACACAAACACAATTGGTGCAGCAAGCTTGTAATCGCTTTTCTTATCAATAGAAACTTTATTGCAAGTACTTACACAAAAAGCACTCTGATATTCAATGTCGCAGAGTTGCTAAATTTTTTATTCAATGATTTTCCTAAAAATTATATTACTGTCAAATGCAAAAATCAGATTGGACCAATTTTGGCATTTTTAATTACACTTATTTTAATTTTTTCTACATAATAAGTTTATCTACAATCTAAGATATTTCCATATAAATAATTATATTTTAGCTCATTTCTGGCACAGGGTGGCAGTGGGCCAGATGAATTCACCTTGTGGGCTATAGTGGTGACCCCTGAGTTAGATAGATGACTAACACAACTCTATTGCTAACAGGAAAAGTATGATGTACAGGGGCAAGACACTATTAATTTGAAGTGTCGAGCATATATTTTAAATTAAATAAATTTAAAAAATATGATTAAAAATTGCAGCTGAGCATTGTGACGATATCACAATAAATAATTTCTCATTATTTATAATGGTAGCAAATTTTATTAACTTTCACAGAATAATTAGTATTATATTGCTGATATAAAATAATTTTTTGAATTATATTTTTACAGGTTGATTTGGATGTGAAAGATTTATTGTTCAGTTTATCTCATCTAAATCTACAGAAATCATGATGATTCATAAATGATATAGTAAAATATAGTAAGGGGAAGTGCCTAATTTTGTGTATCAAAGAGGAGAGAGAATTAATCTTGGATCAATATCAATTACTTGGGTGGAAAGCAGAATTCTTATCTGATATACTTTGGTAGTGGTGTTTCCTTAACTGTTTGTTAATTAACAGAAATAATACAAGGATTTAATTGTAAAAATATCAGCATTATTATAATTGCTGAGTTAATGTTTTGTCAGTAAATATGTAAATATAATAACATACATACTTGAATGTGTGTACACATCATTTCCTTTCTTCATGTATATAATGAGAAGAAAATGATAAAATTAAATGTGTATTTTATTTTATTTTATTCTGTAACATTATTAATTATAACCTCTGTGGAATAAAAAGTAACAAAGCATTGTAATTTAATGTAGTAATATTTGTCTCAATATTCTACATAATTATTGCAAAATAAAATATCTCAAAATATATTTAATTGTATTGCTGTTTCTTTATTTCTTTTATGTGACAACAATCAACCTAATCTTTTTTTTACAACAGTGTTGTGTCCTATAACAATCTTCACAAACGTTTTCGACCTCCACTGAGGTCTGCTTCAGGTGGTGACTAAACAGTGTCTCCTCTTTACCGTTGGAATGATGATGCCCAAGATGTAAATAATTGGGCGTATCACGTTTCACCCCTCCGCTTGTCCCACACATAATCAAAAACATTTCTGATTAAATAATTGTTTGATAACCAGAATTTTAGCAGTTATTATTATTATTATTGGGCTGGAATTTAAAAAAATTGTAGACCTATAAATTCTCAGTTTTCCATCTGTTCTTCTTTAATCTCAAGAATGGAGTTATATAGATGAAAACTGAGACTAGATATTGACGGACACCCAGAATAAAATAGAAATGTCATTTCTACAAAGAGTGAAGTGCTTGTTGTGTAAATGCATGAGTGCGAGGGTCCAGTAAAGGTTAAATGGTATTAGAGTGATGTTATATCTGTGTGTGAATGTTTCTAGAATATTGTTGTGTCTAAAAAGAAAACAAAAACAGTAAATTTTAATATGAGAATAAGATATGTAGAAAAATAAAACGAGCTGTTTAGCCTCAGATATAGGAAAAAAATTTCATGTCTGACAAATGGCCACTTCGTCCTCTATGGTAAAAGTCATGAGAAAATGAGAAGTTTATTTATTATCTAATGTCAACCTAATTTAAATTACCTTTATCACACAAGGAGAATGATCCATCTTTCGTCCTGATAGGAGAGAAAGACCTAGCTTAGCCTAAAGGTATGGTTAAGTTTTGGCAGCGAAAGGTCGAGAGGTTGGGGAGATAGAACGGGTTGTTCTCGTATAATTTGGCAATGTGATAAAATGTAAAAACTTTTATGAAAAATTATAAATTATAAAAGATGTCAATTATAAAGAACTAGCAGGTGGGCCCGGCGTTGCTTGGGCAAAAGTAACGATAACTAAGATAAATATTATTACGTTACAGTCAACCTTACCCGTTTTCACAGAATGCAAGAATTGGGTCCCCTTGTTTCCAGACTAATTAGAGAATTATTAGATGGGTCTAAAAATATGTTCGATTTCACAGAATGCAAGAATTGGGTCCCCTTGTTTCCAGACTAATTAGAGAATTATTAGATGGGTCTAAAAATATGTTCGATTTCCCGCAAAAACGAAAAAAAACTGCATCTGCATATTGCACGTCGCTTTCTCTTAACAATTCCATTGTTACGTAGCATTTCCATTGTTGACACTTCCATTGTTACTTAACACTTCCATTGTTACTTAACACTTCCATTGTTACTTAGCACTTCCATTGTTACTTAACACTTCCATTGTTGATGGAAGTGTTAAGCCTTAATCCTGTCCCTCTCCCCCGTGGGGAAGAATTTTGAAAAATCCCTTCTTAGTGTGCGTTCTCCTAACGTACCCTAACTGTGTACCAAATTTCAACTTTCAACTCCTAACCGTTTGGGCTCGTATCCATAATGTACTGTATATAGAAGTTTTAATCCTGTCTCTCTCCCCCCGGGGGGGAATTTCGAAAAATCCCTTCTTAGTGTGCGTTTTCATGACGTACTCTATCTGTGTACCAAATTTCAACTTTCAACTCCTAACCGTTTGGGCTCTGCACTTATTATTATTATCATTATTATTATTATCAACCCGTCTCGATTATATATATAGATAGAGCCCGAGAGAAGGTGTTCTAGAGGATTAATATTGTAGCCGACCTGGTTTTACCGATCTAATGTGAGTTAAGTGTTGATTTTGAATAATTAAACTGTTAGAGTTTATAATTGCTTGTTTAGTTTAATACATCCTACCCTCAAAATTAACCCTTTTTTGCCACTTTATAAGTAACTAAAAATATAAAAACTTTTTATATAAGAAAAATCTGATAAAAAGTGGCGCCCCACACAATTTTATTTTTTTAATTAAAAACACGTCACTTCTGCTATAGACCGCAAATTTGTATATAGTTAATCGGGGCTTCCATATTCTCATCTATCTAATGGAGGATGGACGACAATGGGAATTTATGGGTCTACAATTGTTTCAAATTGCAGTCCAACCAGATTGCAAGAGCAAATCTGTCAATGCCTGAAGAAATGTTAATTATCTTAATGACAATTTAATTCACGCTATCTTCATTATTTATTTATAGTAATAAACTAATTCTTTATAAAATTATTTTTAATGAATTTCTTTTTATGATTTTGGAAAGAGCATACAGTATTTATGACGAGGTATTTGATTGGTAAGTGTTTATTAAACTCGTACTTAGTTGAAGTCTTTGCAGATAGATAATTTGGAATTTTATATGAAAATACAAACGCATCTTTTTTCTATAAAGTGATCACATTAACAGGTTACATTTCAGGAAAACCAGATCTAACAGTGGTAGCATTACACAATAAGCAGATGATTGCTATACAGAGGAAAAAATATCCCTAAAATCTATCGAGTAAATTTCAGGCCAAATAAAACTGGTCACTATAGGAAGGTGGTCGTGTCACCGACATGGTCACATTGGCAGGTTCCACTGTGTGTGTATGTGTGTGTATATATATAATCAGTAAAAAAAATATTTGGATACAAGTAAATGATTTCGTTATAACAATTCAAATTCAGATTTTAATATTAAAAGTAAATTGTTACCAGAGCCTCTTTGGCCATCGGCCGTTGCGACTGATGTTACCGCTTCCCGGGACGTGGACCCAGAGGTTGGATTTTGGGAAGCGTGTTCGGGTTGTGAACGGTGTTGTTTATAATGCACGTCAATGGAATGGTTGGTGATTGGATGCAACGAACTGTGTGTTTTAGCGTGAGGGATGTTGTTGTTTCTGTGCGTGGATGTGACTTACTAAACTAATGTAAGTACAACAAGAGGAAAAAATAAATAAAAAATCTCTTGCCTTCTTACATCTAGGTTAGTAAATTAAATTTAAGGTTTTAGTTTAAATGTTAGTATGACAAGAGGAAAAAAATAAATAAAAAACTCTTGCATTCTTATCCTACGTCAGTAAATGAAACTAAAACCTTAAATTTAAATATAACTTCAGAAATAACAAAGGAAAAAGTCGTTCACATGCGTTCTCTTGCGAAGCGACGCTTTTTCCTTTGCATCCTTGCCCACACCGAACGAGAGGATCCCACTCGTTGGAAAAGGCAGGAATGATCGAAACATTCCTCCCCTCCCAGTGCGGCAAAGATGATGTCGTCAACATGGAGACATTTCACTTTTCGGAACACGTCCGAATGGCGAAATGCCTCCTCTCCGTTCAACGGGGAACAGAGAATGCTGTCGACATCCGCTATTCTTGAAGGCGATCCCGTGAAGGAAGAACCCCTTCCGCGATCGATGGAAGAGAGTTCCTCTCCCCGCTCAAAGGAGGAAAAGGCCCTCTCTTCATCGATTGCGGAAGGAGAACGCCCTTCACACTTCTTCGTCTTCTTGGGCCGCAGCCAATGCCAGAACCTCCAGCTCTTCATTCTGTAAAGAAACAAAAAATATATATATTAAATTAATTAATGGGATTCTGATATACTTAATGCAGAAAAAGTTCGAGATTTACTCACGACGGATCGGAATTCGGATAGCTCGCGTTAGATTTTACCGGAAATTGCTAGAACGTTCGAACTGCGTTTGCAGTAAAGACGACCGACTCGGAACGAAGAAACTCTCTTACGTGTAACTTGTATTTGTACGACAGAAAATTAAACGTAGCCATGCGGAAAAGTCACTCGTACTCGAACTCGAACCCAAGTCTTAACAAGTGTTTCGTTCTAGAGCAATTTACATAAACATAACGCAACGACGGCATTTAAAAGAGTTTCGTGCAAAGAAAGTCCGAACGAGTCGACGAAAACACAACACAAATGTACGAAGAAGCGAAAAGTACCCACAACCGAACTCGGGACACGAAGGTTAAGTGGCACAAAGCATTTGCAAAGGGTTACGTAAGTGTGAAGCGTGGAAGATCGACTGGACTCAGAAAAGGCCACTTTGTGGAAAGAGACAAACAGCGTAAGGAAAAGAATTGTTTGTGTCCAGCCTGTATACATAACTGTTAATGTATTAGTATTACAGACAATTTAATTCTGGCAAAATAAGCTATTGAAAGGCGTTGTAACTAATACATAAATTCAATGGAGAAGTCGGAGGTCAAAGGGTGAAATTTTTGACGTGTCGAAGTAACATGCCATGCTTCAGAATCCATCAGACAATGTATTTTACTTAAAATTACGCGATGGAATTCGTATTCAGAGTTAGTATTAAATAAGTTTTAATTGAATTTCTATAAACAAGATATTTGCAAATAATCCTTATTCTTTGACCGTGTTTATAAAATGTAAATCGACTAAATATTATCTAAATTAATTAATTACGAAAATAAACCAATGAGCAAATACTTAATCCTTTGCGTCCGTCGTCTTCGGCGCTTCGGTCAATTTCGAATGTGGCGGCTCGTTTAAAACTGGAAAAAGGTGCGTTTCGGATTCAAACGAAAAACATAAGCAACGGCAGATTTAAACGCAAATATGCAAAGTCCGAGCCGGTCGACGTCGTCTCCGAAAGTTGGACTAAACGAAACGAAAATAAAATCTTACAGCTAGCTAAATTTTAATTAAAATCTTACTTGGTGTAATGTCGGCGTCCAAAAGTCTTCTTAAAACCACGTTCGAGTAGCTAAGAACATTGAAAAAAGGCAAAAAACATAGCAGAAACCAGAGCAGAGAGCGCACACGTCCGTTTGGCAAGCGAAAAACGTGCAAAGTGACGCAAAATCGTGTTGCAACAATACGCGTTTCTATAGAAACGGCAATTGTTGCCGTTTCCATAGAGATTAGAAAGCGCGTAACGAATTCGAATGCGATTGACGTCATGGATTCTTTTTGAATTTTAAGGCTAAATATCTGCATTTTCTACGTTTCTATCCCCCCGAGTGACGACGGATTGGGATCGAGAGACTCCCTATCACCCTCCCCTTGGGTTTACAAGGGGTTAGAAGCCAGATTTTCTATAATTGAGCGTCATCTTTACCTCGCCACCCCCAAAACTAGAAGAAATCCTTCCTCTCGTTCGTCCACTATTTTCTGACGAATTTTCGGATTGACCGACAGTGCAATTTTTACTGAATTTCGTAATATTTTGTTTATCCGACGCCATTTTAAAAGCGGTCACCGGACGTCATCGGACGTTCGTTGCACGTTATAATTTAGTTACGTAAACCTTAATTAAAGTGACTTATATATTAAATAAGCGAGTTTTATGAATGTACCTGCAAGAAAGAAAATATCGTGTATGTATTTTTCAACAAGGAGAAATGTGATGGGCCTATTGTTGGAAAGAAATGATTTGATTTTCTTTTTATAATAAAAAAAATTCGGCAACGAGTTGCGAATTTTTATTATTTTACAATGTTTACAAAAAACCGTTTTTTATGTAATGCTATGTAACCTGCACGAGAGAACCTCGAGAGTGGGCAATAAGGGTTAAACTCTTGCTTGCCCACCCACCATGGTATATAATAATACAAAAATTTCATTCTACTTTTCGGGCTGTTATGTACTGTACACATAACAAGGAAATGTTGTAATTGTGTCAAATTTCTTTCGGAGTTTTTGCAAATCTTTAGGTTCAGATTTCCTGAATTCAAAACAGTCAAGAAATGGCAAAATAATTCGATTGGTGTGTGTGTTGGCATCTATTTTGCATAATATCTCAAAATGGAGTAAAGATTAAGAAACGACAATTGGCATGGTGGCTTGCATATGTGGGACATTGATGCTGTTAAACGACATGATAGTAAAAGACACATTTTTGTAAAATTTTCATTTTTGACCCTTTTTTTTTAAATTAAAAAAACTAGCTTCTTAGTTTGTAATAAACACATTTATATACTGCATTCTGAACTTATGATTTGTTAGAAAATGTTTATTCTGTGTCAACAAGAGTCATAAATTTGAATGGATACTACTAAGAATAGTTCTAATAGTAGATAATAGTAGTAAGGAAGAAATGGCATGAAACAAATCTTACAGAATAATTTTAATATTTTTGAAACTATTCTATAAGGAACATATTACACTGACAGAAACAGATGAAATTCGAAAAATGAACGGGCACTAAAATGACAATAATAACCAAACACGAAGAAATTTAATGAAGAAAAAACACTCAACGTAGCTTACCGATGGTGGTCATGTGATGTACGAAAGGGATCTAGAATTTCAAGATTTTAATTTGATAAAATTAGTCCTTTGTTGATCGGACTATACCTTCTGCAGAAGGAATATTTTTACTCCAATTTCCTGTGATCAAAAGAAAATTCGATATTAAATATTGAACTCACGAAAACAATGATAATTAAAAAGCAAAATACGACTTACAAGGAAGGGTGAGAGGGGATTGAACTTCAGTGGACATCCTTTTTATTTCATTAAATTTTATGCAGTTTATGCATTTTATTATTCATAAAGTGATAAAGGTTTTAAGGAGAGCTGAGTTTTGTTGGACGTCCGAGGAGGGGAGAGGGAGTAAAAATTTCAAGAAATATGCGGACGTAATTTATGGACAACCCCTAAAGGTGTAAAATCATTCTCATACTTTTCTGGCAAGGTCGGTAGTAATCCTATTATTATTAACGTCGTGCCAGTGTTCTCGAGAACGATATGCTAATTTTCTGCTAGTAGCCGCTATGTTTTTGCTGCCATACATACTCGCTGTAATCATGTAGACTCCTGATTTCTCTGAAAATGTATGATTGTTCCTAACGTTACAAAGAATTCTATAGCTAGAATCTCCATATGAAACAGACAGAAGAAGAAGAAGAAGAATTCTACGTAGAGATAGTTTACACTCGATAAAAGCATCCCCTTGTTTCTCAAAAGCACGAACTCTCCTTAGATACCTTCGGCTGACTTAAATGCAAGAAATTATTGAATGCTAAAACGTAGACTAAAACGTAGTCAGCCGAAGGCTTCTATTTTCGGCGCTCGATAACCTATTTTTACTTTCCCGTATTGTTATTTATTTGTTATTGTCGAATTTTTCGAGAACAGTCTGTCCCCGATATGTTCATTGCGGAGCTACCAACCAGAGTTGCCAGGTGTTTGTAGTCAAAAATTTCCTTTTTAATAACCCAAGATTTGACGATTAAAAAAAATCATTCGTGCTTTTCCAGCAATAATTTTAGTCTCAATAAATATTTTTGGCCAATTTACAGGCCTGTGAACTGATCGGAAATAAGGATCGCAAGACTCGAAATACATGCACATACCGTAATTTACTATGTCGAGAACACTCATTTTATCTGCAAAGTAGATTGCAACGAATTATGCAACAAATGATCTTGCCAAGACAGACTATAAAAAATTAATTTTGCTATGTAATATTCTTAATATATAGTTATTAATTTGCTCTTACAAATGATTTATCAAACTACAGTTATTTAATTAATTTAAAAGTTGACTAATAGATTTCTTTATTAAGACAATACGTACGGTACTATACATTAATAATAATAAGAGATAAAGAATGCATATGAGATTGATTATGAGATGGAATTATGAATAAAATAAAACATACGTAGATAAAACGAATACTGTACATAAATTTGCGTTTTACTGTTTTTATAAACTCTTTACTCCCGTGGCCGAGCGGTCTTCGTAACCTGAACGCTGGAGTTTGGTCGTGTGTTCGTGCCTCGCTCGGACGGGGGCTGACCACGTGGAATTTTCCAGGTTTTCTCCACGTCTGTAACGCCTAAATAGGGGCCAGTTTCCCTTAAATAGACTTCCCGGAAGGCATCCCCCTAGGCAGATCGCCTAGGGGGATGCCTAGAGCGTTGCGTTGCCATAACTAAACAAATAAATTTTACTCCCTGTAAACACTAACAAGTAAGAGGGCGTCTTTTAGCAAGTCCATTAATGGGTTCGGCCAATTCATGGGGATGATTCGAACCACGGTAGGTTACTACCTAGATCGCTCGCTCATCCCGCCTCTGCGTTTTACTGTTTTATTTTATTACATATGTATGACAATATAATTAGGAAAACCATAGCTTATCCTCTGATACATTTAAATAGCCATAAAAATGTAATTCAGATAAAGACAAAGTATTTTTTAAATAATTTATTAACTACTAAAGGACGCCATTTTTATTACCAACCAACTCCATTTACAGACCCGGAAAAACGTCAACGCAGCAAACGTCCAACCACTCCGCCAGAGGGCGGGCGAGCGAGCACGTAAGACTGCCGCACGTCATTTATTTCTGTTGAGACGTGAAAAATTTGTTTTCGCTGTATTTTAATTATTGAACATTTCTATAGAATCGCAACGAAATTTATTTCCTTTCTCTATATTTTCAACTGATAATCAATACGAAGAGTTTAGTTAAATTTATTTATTTCGTTTAAACGTAGAAGTTGGATGAAAGTAGTGTTTATATAAGAATTAAAACGCTCACGCTTCGAAGTTGTGAGTAGTTTAATGCTTTTACTCAGTCTTATTTAATGTGAATTAATATAAAAATCGTGATTTCATTTTATATCAATTTCTGTATTAACTAAGAAATTAAAGTTTGTTTTGCTTTTATAAGAAATTATAACATTATTTATTTATTTATTAGGAAATTCGGAAAATCAACGAAGCGAGAAGGGATCAAAACCATTCATAACTGCGGGCTCCACTCTTCTACAAAAGCGGTAAAAGTATAGGAATGAAATCAATATTGTAAACAAATAAAACCTCTTGGAACATATAGTGCTAACTGTCAGAATCACATTTCTGAAATAATCAAGCTGAGTGTTTGAAAAACTTCCTAAAATTGTACAAGTGAGTGCGGGTTAATATTTTTGCTCTCCAAACTTTGTCTTTAGATGTGGCTGTTGGCTCGTGCTTGGTACGGAAAAGATTACGATTATCCGATAAAGAATCCTGCGAGAAAGATTTTGAGGATTGAGATGTGAATGTGTGTCGGCAAGAATTTTTGCAATTCTCGAGGCCCTGCTTATTGAATACCAAAAAATACTGTTCGGAAAATACTTTTTATTTCCACTTAATATTTTCATTTATGTTATTTTATTTTTCTCGATGTTATTCGTTGATGTTTCTTGCATTAACGACTGTGTCGTCTGCCCGGATCTGGTAACGGAAAGCTTGATGTGCTTTGGGAACGCTGTCTTGTCGGGACTTATCGTTTGCTTTATTTTTTGCATTTGGCGATGTTCCGGTATACCTTTTCTCTGGCTAATATGATTTGTGCCGATACTAGGGTGCATTACTCGTAATTGAATAACTCGGGATGCCACAAACTGAGGGTTAGCACTGTGTGTCCTCGAGAGCTTTGATTATCTAAAGAAACTTTGCCATTTTCATATAATGTTTTTATATATATATATATATATGTGTGTATTTGTATGTGTGAGTATATGTTTGTGTGTATCTAGGCATGAGGAAAATTATAATCCAAAACAAATTTCAAATACTTATCTGAAATTTTAAAACTAAAACCAATTTCAAATGAACATTTTAAATTAGATCTGAATTACAAAAATATTTTTAATAGATGATGTAATTATTTACATTGCATTCAGTTTTTAAAATAATTTTTCTTATTTTTGTTATTAATTTAATGCAAATTTTTATTTAGTATAAAATTAAATTAAATAAAGATAAATTATTCTGATTTCTATAAATCAGATTATAATTACAGATGTCAGATGTCAAAAAAAAAGTTAAGTGATTTATATATTTAGATATAATATTTGTATTGACAAATATTATATCTAATACAAAATGGTAGCTGGCCACACAAAAGCAATTCTTGCTCTTGCTGGATATAGACAAGCAATCCATACATTCACTTGACAGCAATTATTTTGTTTTTATGTTTGTTTTTGGCACTCATTTTCCATTAGGCATGTGCAATGCTGTTTTTCCCACCTAAATTCTGTTAAGCGTGCTCAATCATGTCATGGTGCATAGACATTATCACATTGACTCTATTGTATCTAAAATGAAGTCATGGATTCCCATTTTTTTATTGTTTTTTTGGATTCCTCATCACAAATAATGGAAAATGGTAAAGTTTAATGAAATTTGATTGATCAAATTTTGAGAATGAACAAATTCTGCAAGCCACATGAAGGCTTTGCTAACACACAATCTTTAATAAAAAGATTGTTGTGATGATCACTCTACATCATGGAAATGCTGTTATTTAAGAGAATAAGATTTAAATAATTCTGAAATGTTTTGAATATCTCTTGAATTGGTTAAAAGTATTTTATGATAACAATTTTCATAAATTTCTAGTTTTAAGTTTAATCTGGTAGAAGGTGACATATTTGAGTGTTTGCTTGAAATTTTCATTGGAAATGCTGGTTTTCAAAAGTTGTTCAATTTGTTTTTAAATTTTTTAGTTCTTTAAATATTGTTACATTCCTCTAAAGAGGAGTGATAAACTGAAAAATACTAGGATAAATGTTAGATATTTTTTAGCTATAATTAAGGCAATATGTTGATTCATTTTTATTGACATGTTAAATGCATTTGAGATAAATTATATACCAAATTATACATGCAAATGCAAGTATTAAATTAAAAAAAAAATAGTAATAACACAGCTCAAAATAAATTGTTTACCAGTGAATGTGATATGGTTTTTTCAGAAGAATGAATGTAAGATTCTTAAAATTGTTTAAAGTTGTTCATTCTGCAATCTGCATTCTGACTGATAATTTTTATCCTCTTTAAACATTTAATGAACAGATTCAATGCTTTCTTTTGTTGTCCTTGGGCATTCAGATCCAGTTCATGTAAATTTACCCACTAATGCACAAATGGTGTTGTTTGTAGGACTGTATTTATGAAATATTCTTAAATTTCTCTCTATTATCACTAAATTTCATTTCTTTTATGTATGTAGTGCAGCATGTTACCACAAAAATATATTCATAAATATCCATAAGGGTATAAAAAATTTTAAAATAAACATCAAATTAAGCCATTTACATTTATATATTATTTTATATTAAATTTAAAATATATGTAAATATTTTTATAAATATAAATATTAATAAATATTTTTTAAAAAGTTATTATTACATAGGATTAAATCATGTCTTCTGAAAATATTCCTAAGAAAAGGATTTGTGTTGTTGTTCTTGGTGATTTTGGAAGAAGCCCAAGAATGCAGTTTCATGCACTTTCATTGGCTGATAATAATTTCATTGTTGATGTTGTATGTTACAGAGGTAATGGAAATATTTATTGGATAATATTTGTTTATAATTAGTTAAGATTGTGATTTTCTAATTAATCTTCATTTTCTGGCTCCAAACGAATATCACTGGATCTTTGTTGAAGTTATACACTCATTTGTATAAAAAAAATAAAACAAGCTTATTTACAATATATGTGTCAAGTTTACACATATATTGTAAATAAGCTTGTTTTATTCTTTTACTATAAATCACTACTAATAACTATATTTTGCGAGGAACCAGGAAATATAATACTCTTACATTTTGAAACACATTGTTCACTCAATTTTTTTCTGATTGAAATGTATTAACTACTAATTTCTCTGTTAAGATTAACTTATGGCCGTAATGTCTTATCTATTTCTATTGAGAGCCCAGATAGTTTCATAATGGTGCATTACATAAACGAGAGTTTGGTTAGTGTCAAGCCTGGACTTTATGCAGGCAATAAGTAACGAAAATTTGTTAATGAATCAAAAACCCAAATTCATTATTATATGTAATAACTAGCTGCAAGTACCCGCTTCGCTGGGTTTTTATTTGTTCGTACATTTATATGAAATATAGTTGTTTTTATATATATAAAAGGCTGTTTCTCTTCCTCTACATAATCTTTCTCTGATTCGATGTGTTTCCCTATAATTTTCAAGTTGCTCTCATGTCTGATTATTTCTGTTTTGTTGATAATTTTCTCGTAGCAATGTTAGATGTATTTCTCTTTCTTCTGTGGTTTCATTTCTCCACGCCATCTTTTGCCTTTGAGATATGATTCGAGACCGCAAAAAATTCTTTCTTACACTTTGGCATTGATTTTTATATTTTTATTTTTTACACTTCACTATTCACTTTTCACATTTTTCTGTTATTTGTACTTTAGTTATGAAAAATCAACTGAAGCATGAGCATCACCTGTCTCCAAAAGCCATCCCCACTACTCACACATAACAGTCCTGGACTATTCCAAAACATTTTCGAGTATTCCAAAACATTTAAGATTAAGATTACATTACAGCCAATCTTACCCATTTTCACAGAATGCAAGAATTAGGTTCCCTGTTTCCAGACTAATTAGAGAATTTTTACATGGTTCTAAAAATATGTTTGATTTCCCTTAAAAACACAAAAAAACGCATCTGTGCCTGTAAATCTTGCACACCACTTTATCTTAACATTTCCTTTGTTACTCAACACTTTCATTGCTATCACTTTCATTGTTAAAACTTTCATTATTAACACTTCCATTGTTACACATTTTCAAAGTCAACTACTTTCAACCCCCATATCTCCCACACCCTTATAGCTATCAAGATGCAACCACCATAGTGCACAATGGGAGACTTGGGGCTACTACTACACACAAACACCATTCATGTGTGATGTGTAGTTTTGGCTGCAGTGTGAAATATAGGGACAAACACGTCCATTTTTATATATATACTAGCTGCAAGGACCTGCTTCGCTGGGTTTTTATTTGTGGGCAAAAAGTAACAATAGTGAAGATTAAGATAATTACATTATAGCCAATCTTACCCGTTTTCACAGAATGCAAGAATTAGGTCCCCTGTTTCCAGACTAATTAGAGAATTTTTACATGAGTCTAAAAATATGTTCGATTTCCCGCAAAAACGCAAAAAGCCGCCTATAAATTTTGCATGCCACTTTATATTAACACTTTTTATATAAAAGGAGGCACAAGCTGTAAAAAAGGCATTGTACATATATTATATATATATATATATATCCCTTGATTAATGCAGTTAATTAATCCCTTGATGCTACTGCATATGTCAGATCTCCAATATGTGTTCTGGAAAACTCAAAACTAGTCTGGTCTTTAACACAATTGAGCAGAATGGCCACTATACCAACTTCCTCCTTGAAACTATGAAGGCACACATGGACAACTTTGAGGATCCTGCCAGTGAAAACACAGACTGGCAAAAGCATTTAAGGGCTCAGATTGTCCACGATATCAACACCCTGAGTGCTACTCCCTTTTAATTATCAAGAGGTTGACAAAATCTTCTGCAGCTTCAACAAGAAAAAAGCCCCTGGCACTGATGGAAATACTGTCGATATTGCCCAGGAAATCTGGAAATGTGCTCCTAACCTACTTCTTGACATATATAATATTCGAGCATGGCATATTCACACAGAGATGGAAAATTGCTAAAATTATTCCAATTTCCAAGTCTGGAAACAACAACGAACTACACCAAATCTCTCTCCTGCTCGTGCTGGGAAAAATCCTTGAAAAGCTGATTGCCAGCAGACTTACCTGGCTTGTCGAAACTACTCAACAGTTAAGTCATAATCAGTTTGGATTCTGTCACCAAAGGTCTGCCAAGGACGCCATATACACCACAACCAAAAATATCTGCTCCCTCTTAGACTACAATAAATACGTTCTTGGCATCAGCCTGGACATATCTAAGGCTTTTTGACAGTGCCTGGTGGGCACTTATTCTTCATAGGCTAAGAGCTGTCAACTGCCTTGTTAATCTTTATCATCTCATTGCCAACTTTCTGAAGGATAGGGAAGCCATTCTTCAATATGACGACTTCAGCTGTCATAAAAACGTGGTTCATGGGTGCCCACAAGGGTTAATCTGTGGACCTCTCCTGTGGAACATTGCCTTTGACAACTTTCTGGACTCCAACTTCAGACAAGACTATACCACTGCCTATGCTGATGATGTTTTGCTCTTGGTGTGTGGCATTCCAGCGCTGACCTGGAACGTAACAGCAACCAAATTCTGAACAGTGCATGACAGTGTGCATGACAGTGCAAACTGCATTTTAATTCTATTTAGACAAAGGCCATTGTTTTTAATCATCCAGGGAATCCAAACCTCTACTATAGAGTGCCTACACTAAAGATGAACGGCCATGCCATTAAAGTTGAGAAAACTATAAAGTACCTTGGCATAGTACTTGATTTTCGTCTTTCCTGGGATCAGCACATCAAATATATTGTTGATTGCACTGGCCTTATTATGCAGGCATTCTATAAGGTGGCAAATACACAACTGGGGCCTAGGTTCTGAGGCACTCAGCATCATCTATGATAGGCCACTAAGAAAAAACATCCAAATAGAAAATGTATCTCTGCACAACACAGAGCTCTTCTACTAATCTTGAAAGCCTCTAATGTCAGCCTCCAGATCATCACTGCCAAGCCTCCCATTCAAAAGTACTGTAACATCTGGAGAATCAAAAATGGTGAAGATATTAATGTTAAAAATGATATCATCCTAGCCTCTAATCTTGAAAGACCTGTCCCCTTTCGCTGCTCAACTTATCTCTCCCACCAGCCTCAACTCTACAACTTCTCTCATGACATGTCTTGTCATGTATACTGATGGCTCCCAAATCGACAACACTGGCTACAGTTTTGTTGCCTATTATGATAGCTAGGAAATCTATCACCAACTCTTTCGTCTTGCCCAGCACTACTGTGTTTCAGGCCGAGCTTCTTGCTATCCTTAAGGACATTACTGTATTTTCTGACTGTACTTCTGCCATCATTCTCATCTACAACAACAGTTCACCCTCTTGTATCTGAAATAATTAGACTTCTTGCCACCTCTAGCAACTGTTACAGTCTACTTTGGACCTGTACCCATCATGGCACTAAAGGTAATGAGCATGCTGATATGCTCACCAAAGCTGCTGCCAAAGACACCACACTTCCAATAGCCTACAATAAAATCAGTATCAGTACTCTCGAAAATCTTTTGCAGAAGGACTTAACCATTGAATGGCAGGAAGAGTGTAATAATCATCACTGCAATTTGACCACTTATCAATTCTTTCTTAGTGTTGACAATAGACTCGCAAACAATTGGTATACTCCCAATTTTGAAACGACACAATTTATCACAAACCATGGTCAATTTAATAGTTACCTATGCAGATTATCCAGGGGTGGTGATGGACTGTGCACCATCTGCAATACAGAAGACAGCAGCCAGCACTACATATTCAACTGCCCAATTCTGGAACTGCAGCAAGCTCAACTGCAACTACTTTTTTCAGAAAACAATAACTCAAAACTGTGAGAATAGTACATTGAATATAGAAATACAGAATACAGAACAAAAAGAGTACAGAATACAGTAGAGTACAGAATACAGTACAAAAAGAGTACAGAATACAGAACAAAAAGAGTACAGAAAAAATAGTACATTTCATATCCTACTGAGTTTTAGTAAGATAAATGACAATACTTACAGATTTGAAGTAAATTTTGATTTTTTTTTTAATTGTGATATCTCACTTGAAATTTGTTATGTATGATATATGTTGTTTACTTTTAATTAAAAACAAGTTTCCCTTAATGATTATTGGACTTTTTCTTTGCTTTTTATGAGGTGTTAAATTATTATATGCATTTGAAATTTAACTAAATCTGTAAACATAAGTGTATTAATGATTATAAATTTATAAACTGAAATATATTTCATATTTTGATTATATACTTGCTAAATTACTAATAATATTTTTGTTGTTATTAATAAAATACACACATTAAACATTTTTATAAATTATTTAGTCTATATATTGCAAATGTATATTTTTAAATATATAAGTATAGATAATTTAATTTGATTTTACATATTTAACAGATTCTATTCCTTATGAACAAGTAATGAATAATTCAAATATTCATCAGCACATCCTTAAAGAACCTCCAGAGTTTGGACAATGTAAGATGTATTTTAAAAGTATTTATCATTTCAAGAATATAAAATTTGCATTAGTTTACTTTTTAATATTGTTAAGATTGATTAATATGCATCATCATGTTTATGATGATGATGTACTGTACTTTTAATTTAATTTTTTTATTAGATGATACTTATACTTTTTAATTAAAAGTTATTGTATTTTTATTTAGATAAATTTTATAATATCAAATTAAATTGTTATGCTAATTCCTGTGATTAAAATAAATGTGTACATTTTCTAGTTTGTGACCCACTTAACCTTTTTCCATGAGAAAATTATTTTTATTATCTGTTTATTACAATAAAAATATTCAAAAAGAATTATGTTGATTTTATAAATCATTTATTTGATATAACTTATAATGATTACATTTCTAGTAGAATCATTAAACACCAAATTTGAGCCAAAATTTCAAATGAAAACTAGTGAAATATATCCCAGTTTTTGGAAATATATGTAAATAATCTCTGGTACATATGAGGCTATAAAAATCAATATAAATAATTAAAATTATTTATGATTTAAACTTGAAAAATTTGTTTTTAAAACAATTTACTTAATGGATAATACAAAAAATGTGCCCTTAATCTTTGTCCTTTTTCATGCACATGAAGAATTTTTTAATAAATTTTACTTATTGTCCTAGTAAATTCTTTTATCAAATTAATTTTCAATATTTTTTGATTTTTTAAAATTAGATAATAGGAAATAACTTTTTCTTTGAAAAAAGAAACAAATGAATAAGTAATTGTTAAAGTTAAAATATTTCAATGGCCAGTTTGATAATCTAAAAATGTTAATCAAATAAAACATTAATAAGTGTAGTAAATTTTCAAAAATATAAACCATATTGAATATAATAACTAAATGAATGATTTATTTAGTAAAAATAGAACTTTAAACTCATGTAGTTTCATCACAGTTTCTCTTACAGCTGCCTTAGATATGAAATTATTTCTGTAAACATGTAGTTGTTTTCTTTATTCTCAGTATGGTAGAATAACAAGGAAAATGTCTCAACTTGTTAAAAATGAATTGTAATAAAATATTATAATTCTAAACTATCAGTAAGATTTACCATCATGTTTAATATTAGACTTACTATTTTGAAGTACAATACATTGTTTATAATATATATAAGTATGTAATGTATTAATAAAATATCATGAAATATCAGACACTATTTTAAAATGCAAGCATAAATATAAATCAGAAAAGGAAAACTTTGTTTGATTTAGAGAAAATAAATAGCATACATAAATTCTTGATGTAATCTACAGAAGTATTAGTTATTTATTAATACTTTACTATGAGCATTACTCTATAAGAATTGATATAATTAAGGAACTTACTTTCTATACAAATTCCTGGAATTTGCAAGGAAACCTTTGATTTGATTATTCATGGAACAAACTTATGTATAAGCTTCTGCAATAATTTCATCTTGTTGTTTGTTTATTCTAAGCCAAAGAATCTTTATACTTAGACATATGATACTTAATATATGTCTTTTTATATGCCAAACAATTGCCAGATTAAATCCAGCAATTATTTGGCATATTACTAAAAATATTGGGCTTTGGAATGTTAATACAGTGGAACCTCGCTTAATGAGCATAATTCGTTCCAGAATCTTACTCATAATGCAAAACACTCGTTAAGCAGAATAATTTTTCCCATAGAAATTAATGTAAAATATGATAATGCGTTCCATGCCAAAAAAATACTCAAATATTTTATGTATAATGTTTATTCAAAGAAAATTACACAATATAATATACATTGTTAAAAAGCATGAATCATCATCATCTTTTCTTATAGCATGGAATGAACCAACCTGGAATGCAAATTCTATTTGCAGAAAACAAAAAAATCACAGATAATATGTCTGATGAAGATGCCAAACAATATTCCAAATTCTTGGGCTATGTAAAGGCTGTAATTAAATATTAGAAATTAATTAATTTGACAGACGTAGGCAGTTATGCTGCCATCTCGTATTAAATGTAATAATTATAAATAAATAATTTTTAATTTAGACAATTTTAAAATTTAATTTGGAATTGGTCATTACATTTAATAAGAGATGGCATGTTTATTATATAACAGGCTATGATTATCAATGTTTATATATAATATGTGTGAACATAAGTTTGGAAAAATGTGTGATCACGAGTGACACTAAGATGCTAGTGAAACGCATGCTCCATCAGTCTGCTAAACACAGTCTGATGGAGCATGCGCACAATTCGGGATTTCCCCTCTCCTTGTCACTCGTTATGCAAAACATCACTCTTTAAGCGAGTCAATTTTTTACAATTTGTTTTTCTCGTTATACGAGGTTCCACTGTATATCTTTTATATTTATTTATATTGTTCTTATTGATTTCTTTTTATAGTTTATAGTTTTTGCATGCTTGTATGTATTTTTTACTGAATCAATTTTATCCTTGTGATATCTATGTACAGTGGTACCTCAGGATATGAATGCCCCAGCATACAAAATTTTCAGGATACGACATGAAATTCGAACATATTTTTGCTCCACGATATGAACAAAAACTCACCATACGATGTTACATTAGTTTTCAGCACCATTTTTTATTCACTTCTGTTCATCGGTATCAGTCCCATGTTTGCTTCGTCGTGGATCTCGTCGATAAAGGAAATCTTGAGGTATTATCAGAAAGTGACTGATTTTATTGAAAAGAAACATCCCAAAAAGGTTTACACTGGCCATATTGCTGCTCGGAGTAATGACATTTACCTAAGTCATTTTAGAAACATTTTAAAAAGTAGGCAAAGCCAAACCTCTTTGGATAGATATTTTACCAACAACCTCTATCCAGTGAAAGTGCTGGTAGAAGTGAAGAAAGAAAGCAAAAAGCAGTAAATAAAAATTTTTAAAAATAATTTAAAACTAATTTTTTTAAAAATCTTTTCTAAGTTATTTTTAAGTTATCGTTACATTATGTTATGTAAGTTAAGTTTTAGTATCACTTCCCTTCTCCCTCACTTCAGCCACCAGTTTACACCTCCACCCTCGTCTATCCTCAAAGGTAAAGTGCAAATAAAACTACGTTTTTTTTATCAATTATTATTCTATTATAGTTATTTATACATTTATAACTACAAAACGCAATTTTTTTAGTGTTTTCCTTACTAAAGTTTTTTTCAATGTACTGTACTACTTACCTTTAATTTGAGTATGTTTTTCGTGTTGGAACGAATTATTTGGTTTTACGTGTAATCGTACGGAGAAAAATGATTCACCTTACGACATTTTCATGATATGATCTCAGTTTCGGAACGGATTAATTTCGTATCCTGAGGTACCACTGTATTGTTGTATGTTTACCTGTTTGTTTTGTTATTTTTATATTTATTTGAGCGCATACACGTTGTATGAGGAAATGGTAATCTTTTGCATTATTAGCATTACTCATAGTCAGTGTAATAAATAAATAGCAAATCTAGTGTTAAAAATTAAAAAAATTTAAATTCTCAATCAGTTAGATACCTATCTTGTAAGTAAATGTTAGTAGATAGTCAATTAAACTGTCCACTAATACTATTAAGTAGATATTTTTCTGCTAAAAAGTGCTATCCTACTTAAATATACAAATTAATATTCTTGTTTTACAATATACTTTTACATGTATATTGTAACAATTTATATGATTTACTGGTGAACTTCATAATGTAGTCAGATTTTCCAATTAAAATCAGAAAATATTAGGAAAATTTGATATAATGTCTTTTTATCATTCATTTTTGATAGCTCACCTAAAACTATTATAAAGAGAGTCTACTGTATTTCATACTTATAATTAATTCATAATTTAAAGTTATTTTCTGTGACATAAAGTAACTTTAATATATGAATATTCACACTTTACATTGTTTGTAAATACCAGTTGTTTTGTATACTCAAGGTTTTAAATCATGTGAACAAAAATATCAAATTATAAGATCAAATGCAGAAATTTTCTACAGAATTTTTTTAATCGTTTTGAAAATAAAAATGTTTGCATAAGTTTCTTTATAAAAAATATTTTCCAAAAACTAAAAGAAAATAGTTATAGGCATGATAAAAGAGAGATGTATTTTCATCATAAAATTTTCAGTATTAATGCAAAGTTTTCTTTTTTTATGTTTAAATCTAGTAGAAAATGTATGTGAAAAAATTCTAATGAAGTTGCTAAAATACAATTATTACCAATTTTAGATGAAATATTGTTGAATTTTTTATTTTCAATAGAAAAATTTTTAATGGTTGTATTTGTTTGAATGTAAATAAAATCAAATAATTTTATATTAATATTTTACAAAATGTTGAAACTAATATCTCAAATACTATAGTAGAGATAACAGAGACTTATCACACTGCTACTGGTAACATCAAAGTGACACTTCTATCGTCAGAATGCAACTTTATTACTGGTATTCATTTTGATACATAAAATCCTCATCAGCCATATATGAAAATATATAGGTATCTTTTGTAGAACAAATTTGTACACAGTACCTAATGTGAATTGTAATTGTGATCTGCTATTATCAAGGGATTTTCTTTTTAGATATTGTTGGCCTATTTATAATATAATACTCATGGTACTGTGCAGTGTAAATGGAAATAAATCATGAACAGGTATGTTTTAAATTGTAGATTGTAATTAATGTCAATTTCTCTGCAAATTTATTCTACAACAGATACCTATATATTTTTATATATGGCTGATGAGAATCTTATGCACTAAAATGAATACCAATAATAAAGTTGCATTCTGATGATAGAAGTGTCATTTTGATGTTACCAGTAGCAGTGTGATAAGTCTCTGTTATCTCTACTATAGTATTTGAGATATTAGTTTCAACAATTATTGAGACAAGAAACTCTTATAATATTTACAAAATGTATTTTTAAGAATTTGATAGATAATTTTGGAATAAATCAAATTCTTTATATATTCATTCTGTATGATTTATTAAATATATATCTTATTGAATATTTATTTACACATGTATAGAAAACTTGATATTTTTAAAGATTCTAATTTTTGAAATATTTTTCTTAATTAGGCATTCCACAGTTTTTTGTATATATACTGAAAGTTTTATGGCAGTTTCTTGTACTTTTGAATATGCTAATTTCATTACCAAAACCATCATGTGTTTTTATTCAGGTATTGTATTTTTAAGATTTTTAAATTATGAAATATAGTTTCAGTTGAAAAAGAAAATAGAATGAAACACAATTTCTATGTTCAATTTTTAAGAATTTTATTATGAATTTTATCTGGAGTCAGTGTGTGATGTGTGTATGGCTTTTCATATAGAAAAGGAAAAAATTACTATCAAAGCAACAAAATGCTTAAAGTAAAAAATGTTTTTTAAGATATTTCATTTCATTATCAACTGAAACAAAAATTATATGAATTTGTTTCATGAGAATTTCAAAATTCTAAACACTTTAAGTTAGTACAATTCTAAAATTCCAAATCAGTTTAAAATATAAAATTGATAGTCTTTAATTTAGAAAATTATTTAAATTTATTAAAATTAAAACTTTTCTTTGGAAAATCATATGCAATTGTGAGCCGCTGGGGAAGTTGGGAAGTCCTCTCCTTCCGGCCACAGATCGGTGACCTACTTTCTTGTCAAGGATGGCATTTCGTTCAGTTACGTGTTACACGAGTGGAGGAGAGTCGAAGGGGTCAACGATAAGACGTTGGCTAAGCCGAATAACGACACCATTTAAAAAACAAAACAAGAGTTTATTAAGCTAACTAACTAAATAAAATTTACACAAAACTCCTTTGACTTTGCGGATGAGAGAGAGAGTTCACAATAATATATCATAGCTCTGAGATAATATCGGATGGATACTTCTGCTTTAATTTCTGAAAGGCAGTGTGAGGTGGGGCACAAGGTCTTCCAATTAAGGGCGTACAGTAGGTATGAGGGGAAGATATGGCCTGTCTTCGTCGTTGTCCATTCAATTGGCGACTCTTCCCGAGAGGGGAAGGAGGATGGCTTTTATACATTTTGTGTTGGGAAAATTTGTCAGGTGACCAATTGTTTTAGCAGGTGTGGGGTTAAAGTTGGTGTTAGAATGACAACAATATGATGAATTTCGCCGATAATTGTAAACTATACACGGTTTGATCGTGAGAATGTTTATACCTATATTACATCGGGTTTAGTGATGTTTATGTTTATAGTTAAATAGAAAGAGTTATAAATTTCTCATACGCTTTATATTACAGTTCTGTAGGGTCAGATTCCTTTGGTTAAAGGAATTTTTTTTATTTAAATTTATTCAAAATTTAAAGGATTACTTTCTTTTATGAAATTATATGAACTTCAAATTTCACACAATTAAGAATAATATCTTAACTAAATTTAAATTGTTTGATATTTTAGAATGTTTGTTTGAATTTCCGTACATTTGTATAAAATATTTTTTTCTGGAAGTATTCTAGCTGATATTTAGAAATATCCAAAAATATTTCTAAGTTTAATTATTTTGATATTTTTATAGTGGTTTATCTATCACATATTTATAAGAAGATATTTCTAAATATTGATGCTTATAATACTTTTCATTTCAAATTAATAAAAATCCTAATTGTTTTGCTGAAGTAACTTTGAGTTGATTTGAATGAAATTTTAGTTTTATAACTCATAAAAATATATAGCTTATGTTATCAATGTTTCATGTTGTTGCAATGAAATTAAAGAATAGGGATTTCAGGTTTTTATAATTACATACATTCAGTTTTTAAATAATTTTATTCAAATTTTAGTTTATTGAAGTTGCAGTACAATTCAATTTTCTTTTTTTAACCTGTTTTATAATTATATAGAATGAAGTATATTTTTAAAATGAATTAAGTATTTAATTATATGTTTATTTGAGTATAAGGTAGCTGTGCATCTGAGGATATATTAAGATTAAGATTTATATTACATTAATTTTGTACATAATTACTAGTACTTTGAATAACATTTAAAATCAGTTTAAAACATTTATGATACATAACTATTAATGATACAACTTAATTTAAATCATGTTGCCTTTAAAATACAAACTGAGAAGAGGCTTGTAACTTGTGATACATTTCTGTATTGATCAAACTAATAAATGCAAATACTTTTCATATAGATCATATTGATCTAAATATCTTTGAATAGTTAATTCTGTAAAATTACAGCAATTTTGATTAGAAGAATTCCACAAAATTCTTGTTAAGTTAAATGTGTAGAACTTGATATCGTTTTATGTATTTTAATTGCAAATTTTAAACTTTACTATATATTCCATTGAAGATAAAGTTGTTATGATGTTATATTAAACGGTTACATTTTTCAAAATTGTAAATTAGATACAAAATTCTCTGTAATAAAAAGATTGATATAGTGATATCTTGACTACAAATGCTCTTTGTAGTAAAAATATTATTATAATAATAATAAAAATGTAACTAAAATATTTACATAAATAATTAACACATTGTAGAACTATTGTTATTGTTCTTTTTAATAAAATTTATATTCAAATGTCTTCTTTGTTTTTCAGAATCCTCCATCAATACCAACCTTACCAGTAGTTTGGCTTTATTGTTGCTTTTTCGAAATAAAATGGATTATTGATTGGCATAATTATGGACATACTATATTGAGATTAAAACATGGACCTAATCATATATTAGTAAAAATTTATCTTTGGTAAATGATAATCTCAATTATATAATACTCAAATGTAATTCATAATATGTAGAAATATTTAATTTAAATCTTGAAAAAAATCATTAACAAATTTAAATTACAGAATGGTTTAATCTGCTGATTTCTACCATTAGTGTTTAAAATGATAATTTTGAACTCATACCTTGAAACAAAAATCCTTTAAAATGCATCCTTTTTATTCACTTTTCCAAATGTTTTCCATTATTGCTAATCCTTCCTGGTTTGTTTTGTGTATTTACCATACTCAAGACAGACCAGGAAGGATTAGCAATAAATTACAGAGAGTCGAGTAAAATCTCAGCAGCATGGAGAGTGGGCATAATATGATAATTTTAGTACAAAAATAGGGACAAACAGTACAGAAGTAGGCAGAATAGTGGCCTTCTTTATATTAACAGTTGTGTTAATGTATTTATGTAATTATTATTATTATTATTATTTTTTTTTGTATGAGCCTGCATACTACATAAGAAAATTCAAACATTTAAATGCTCCAAAACAAAGTTTGTTTAGAAATTAAAATCAGAATCATTCAATTTTTCTGTTCCTGAGGAAGGCCATTCAAAATGGCCAAAATGTTTGGAAAAGCAAATAAAAAGGCTGCATTTTAAAGGTTTTTTGTTTTGAGGTATGAGTTTTATTTAGACACAACACTTAACACCTCAATACTACTTCCAGCAGTCAAAAGATTTTAATATTCTAACGTTTTCGGCCGTCTTTTAGAGGCCCTCTTCAGGATGAAACATTAAAAAACAGTTCTATCTTTTGAAGGATTCTAATAATCGAATACAGCTGTGTTCCGAACTTTTAAATATTTAAACGATGCGTAAGATATAAAAATCGTTACGCTTACAAGACAAAAAATTATTTTAAAATAACGCTATACATAAATTATTATTGTAGAGTTGTGAAAATTAGCGCTATGTAAACACTGCTATACATTAAATATTATTAAATAGTTGTGAAAATTAGCGTGATGTAAACGCTCTGATTTCTTATACATAGCAGAAAGATTAAAAATAATTAAACTTCCGATTATTGTTGTGCCTTGTGGCAATGTAAATAATATTTCCACGATTGTGGAATCGGAATATAATCGGAGTTAATGCAGCTTCCCTTTATGGTTTCTCTATAAATCTCAATAGCCTCCAACGAGCGTAAGTCGTGTCGGTCAAAGGCCCTATGTAAAAGAGTAGCCTCATCCCAACATGGGGAAACCCCGGGCTCGGTAGCATACCGTGCTAGAGCCGTATTATACTTCTGCTTCGACACATCATATTTGTGGTCCCGTATCCTAGCCTCCAGGGATCTGTATGTGGATCCAATGTATGTTATCCGACGATTGAAACGTTCGTCATTCAAAGGTATACGGTACACCCCCGGCGCTTTTTTGTCATCGGACTTGTCCTTAGCATTAGATAAAAGTCGGAAAATATTCTGCTTTCTCTTATATGTTAAGCGCACATTCACTTCCTTAGCGATTTTACTAAAAATTCGATGAAGGGATGGTTCGTAAGGTACAATCACCCGTTTTTGCTGTGTATCAATAGTCCCCGTGTTGGTGGTAGTTATTGTAGATTGCTGCATGGTAGAAAGCCTGTCTATTAATGACTGTTGGAACCCATGTGTCGATGCTGTACGTTTGATGTTTTTCAGTTCTCTGTAAGTATCGGAAGTTTCAGAGCAGTGGGAATAAGCCCTTGAGACTAGGGCCCTAAAAGCTGATACCTTATACGTCCACGGGTCCGCTGAGTTACGAGGTATAAAGAGAGGACAGTATGTTGGTTTGCGGTAAATGGTCGTGGTTATATTATTATTCGCTGTGTTAATCTGGACATCTAAGTAGTTAACTTCTGTGCGACTTTCTTGGTCTAACTTTAGAGTTAAGCCGTAGGCGTTTTTGTTAAAGGCTTCTAACACTTTCTCTATATCAGGTTTGGTTTTCCAAATAATCAAAATATCATCCACATACCGCATGTAGCTAAGGATATTGGATTGAAAGCTTAGTAAGACCTTTTCTTCTAATTTTCGTACGACGAGTTCGCATAGATCCCCAGAGACTGGGCTACCCATTGGTACGCCTCTTTTTTGGATGTACGTTTGACCATCAAAGTAAAAAAAGGAGGAATAGCAGATTAGATGTGTAAGCTCTAGTATTTGTGAATGGAATCTCTGGCTGTCAGTTGTTGTAGTGAGAAAGAAATCCCTTAGCTCACAAAAACATGGTTCCAATCGAATGGAAGGGAACATCGATACAAAATCGAATACAGTAAGATATTCGTTCCCATTTAACTTTAACTTGTGGAGTTTGGCGAGTAGTGCGTTGGAATCGGACACAGTCAAGCCGTATGAGTTAAGATGATTTTGCAATAAGTGATGTATACGTTTCTCCAATATGAAAGTGGGAGATCTGGCTTTATCGATCACAGGTCTTAATTTATGCCCGGGTTTGTGTGTTTTGGCAAAAGCGAAAAGGCGGGGGGTGTCAGGGGAGCTAACTACCGCATTTTGAAGGCCTAAGATTGTGGCAAGGCCAGTGCGCGTGAATCTACCGACACGACTTTGCAGCCTCGTTGTGTATGAGGTGTCAGCTGGTTGACATTGTGTGTCAACTATATATTGATGTAATGCGCTGACATATGTTGCCCTTAGCATGATGACGACTGCCTTGCTTTTGTCAGACTTGACCATTGTGATGTTATTAGATTGGAGCCATTTCTTACTGCGTTTGACGTAACTCCAGAACTTGTGTACTTCGGGTTCCGGCCTGTAACTTTCAACTGCCATCAACGCCTTCCATCGAAGATAGTCCTTGCGGGTGTCCGGAAACTCAATATTTGCTCTGGAAAGTAATTTCTCTATGCTGGGAATGAAGGAAAACGGGTTTGCTGCAGCCGACTGAGGCACGAACATAGGACCAAATTCGAACGCCTTGCGGAAGTAATCTGGAGGAGATATGCTGTCCCAACAAGTTATAACGTTATTGAACTGAGGTTTAGGACATCGCTTTTGTATTTTTAATATCCAGCTGAGCTTTTTATCATATTTACGTTGTAAGTTACGCTGGACACTTGCTTCTAGATCGATTACTCTAGAGTTCACATGTTGCAGGATGGTAAAATCTTGTCTATAAATGTTCTCCTCAAGATTGATGAGTTGTTTCAATTTATAGTACATAAGGCGTCTGGTGCTTCTAATAGCTTTTCTGAGGCATAAAGCACCAGCACCAGACGCCTTATGTACTATAAATTGAAACAACTCATCAATCTTGAGGAGAACATTTATAGACAAGATTTTACCATCCTGCAACATGTGAACTCTAGAGTAATCGATCTAGAAGCAAGTGTCCAGCGTAACTTACAACGTAAATATGATAAAAAGCTCAGCTGGATATTAAAAATACAAAAGCGATGTCCTAAACCTCAGTTCAATAACGTTATAACTTGTTGGGACAGCATATCTCCTCCAGATTACTTCCGCAAGGCGTTCGAATTTGGTCCTATGTTCGTGCCTCAGTCGGCTGCAGCAAACCCGTTTTCCTTCATTCCCAGCATAGAGAAATTACTTTCCAGAGCAAATATTGAGTTTCCGGACACCCGCAAGGACTATCTTCGATGGAAGGCGTTGATGGCAGTTGAAAGTTACAGGCCGGAACCCGAAGTACACAAGTTCTGGAGTTACGTCAAACGCAGTAAGAAATGGCTCCAATCTAATAACATCACAATGGTCAAGTCTGACAAAAGCAAGGCAGTCGTCATCATGCTAAGGGCAACATATGTCAGCGCATTACATCAATATATAGTTGACACACAATGTCAACCAGCTGACACCTCATACACAACGAGGCTGCAAAGTCGTGTCGGTAGATTCACGCGCACTGGCCTTGCCACAATCTTAGGCCTTCAAAATGCGGTAGTTAGCTCCCCTGACACCCCCCGCCTTTTCGCTTTTGCCAAAACACACAAACCCGGGCATAAATTAAGACCTGTGATCGATAAAGCCAGATCTCCCACTTTCATATTGGAGAAACGTATACATCACTTATTGCAAAATCATCTTAACTCATACGGCTTGACTGTGTCCGATTCCAACGCACTACTCGCCAAACTCCACAAGTTAAAGTTAAATGGGAACGAATATCTTACTGTATTCGATTTTGTATCGATGTTCCCTTCCATTCGATTGGAACCATGTTTTTGTGAGCTAAGGGATTTCTTTCTCACTACAACAACTGACAGCCAGAGATTCCATTCACAAATACTAGAGCTTACACATCTAATCTGCTATTCCTCCTTTTTTTACTTTGATGGTCAAACGTACATCCAAAAAAGAGGCGTACCAATGGGTAGCCCAGTCTCTGGGGATCTATGCGAACTCGTCGTACGAAAATTAGAAGAAAAGGTCTTACTAAGCTTTCAATCCAATATCCTTAGCTACATGCGGTATGTGGATGATATTTTGATTATTTGGAAAACCAAACCTGATATAGAGAAAGTGTTAGAAGCCTTTAACAAAAACGCCTACGGCTTAACTCTAAAGTTAGACCAAGAAAGTCGCACAGAAGTTAACTACTTAGATGTCCAGATTAACACAGCGAATAATAATATAACCACGACCATTTACCGCAAACCAACATACTGTCCTCTCTTTATACCTCGTAACTCAGCGGACCCGTGGACGTATAAGGTATCAGCTTTTAGGGCCCTAGTCTCAAGGGCTTATTCCCACTGCTCTGAAACTTCCGATACTTACAGAGAACTGAAAAACATCAAACGTACAGCATCGACACATGGGTTCCAACAGTCATTAATAGACAGGCTTTCTACCATGCAGCAATCTACAATAACTACCACCAACACGGGGACTATTGATACACAGCAAAAACGGGTGATTGTACCTTACGAACCATCCCTTCATCGAATTTTTAGTAAAATCGCTAAGGAAGTGAATGTGCGCTTAACATATAAGAGAAAGCAGAATATTTTCCGACTTTTATCTAATGCTAAGGACAAGTCCGATGACAAAAAAGCGCCGGGGGTGTACCGTATACCTTTGAATGACGAACGTTTCAATCGTCGGATAACATACATTGGATCCACATACAGATCCCTGGAGGCTAGGATACGGGACCACAAATATGATGTGTCGAAGCAGAAGTATAATACGGCTCTAGCACGGTATGCTACCGAGCCCGGGGTTTCCCCATGTTGGGATGAGGCTACTCTTTTACATAGGGCCTTTGACCGACACGACTTACGCTCGTTGGAGGCTATTGAGATTTATAGAGAAACCATAAAGGGAAGCTGCATTAACTCCGATTATATTCCGATTCCACAATCGTGGAAATATTATTTACATTGCCACAAGGCACAACAATAATCGGAAGTTTAATTATTTTTAATCTTTCTGCTATGTATAAGAAATCAGAGCGTTTACATCACGCTAATTTTCACAACTATTTAATAATATTTAATGTATAGCAGTGTTTACATAGCGCTAATTTTCACAACTCTACAATAATAATTTATGTATAGCGTTATTTTAAAATAATTTTTTGTCTTGTAAGCGTAACGATTTTTATATCTTACGCATCGTTTAAATATTTAAAAGTTCGGAACACAGCTGTATTCGATTATTAGAATCCTTCAAAAGATAGAACTGTTTTTTAATGTTTCATCCTGAAGAGGGCCTCTAAAAGACAGCCGAAAACGTTAGAATATTAAAATCTTTTGACTGCTGGAAGTAGTATTGAGGTGTTAAGTGTTGTGTCTAGTATATCTTTCCAGTTTACGTGTGTTAATTTTTTGTCTGAGTTTTATTTAAGTGCAGTTACAGAAGAATGATAATTTTGTTTAGATGAAATTGTAAAATGAAAGTTTTAAGATGCTTAATAAAAAAAAAAGTGCATAAACATAGAAAATAACATTTCTACAGATGAATTTTATTTTTACTCACTAAAGTATCTATGCAGTTTCTAGTAAACGATTATATCACTGATGTTCAGTTTGCATAGATAAAAATACCATTAATATTAAATGAGAATTTAAGATAAATGTTAAAAATGTTTTGATGTTTTTACATTTTTAATTAATTTTTCATGTGTAAAATTACTAAAATACAAAATTAAATAATTTAGTCACATTTAAATTTGAATAAGCATGTTTTATAGGAAAATTTTAATAATTACAGAATTTAAACTTTTTTTATTTGTGAGGATTTTTTCTGCTAACATAGCAAAAGAAGTTTATTCTTGTAAATGAGAGTTTTATTTACTCTGTGCTATTTATTATTAATATATAATGTAAGACATGACTTTATTGACCAAAACATAAGTTTAGAGGACTGATGATTGGATTATTATATGTGTTTTCAAACTTTTGAACTTTTAATCTAAGGGAAACACTAATTTGTTTCATACAAATTTTGTACTTGTTTCAAGTCAAAAAGAGTGAAGGAATTAGACGATTTAAATGCCAGAATTTTTTTTCTAAAGAATGTTTTGTTTTTAGAATATGTAAAATCTTTCTTGATTAGAATATGTAAGATCTTGATACTTGAATCTGTTTTTCTATGTTTTTGTCTTGTTACTGAATGATTCTTTCTCATTGTATATTAAATTTAATTTATCTCAACATAATCTCATTTTCCATTAATTTTTACTTCAGCCTAGTCATATTTTCTTTATAATTAAACAAGAAGTATTTTCCTACCACCTTTTCTTTTGACATCCATTTTCATTATGGCAAATTCCTAATAATATTGTTGGCTAGTTTATCTGGAAAATTAAACAGATTTATCATGTTATTAATATTAGTAAATTTTAGACTCATATTCTGCTTATTGAAGTATATTGAAGTATTGTCTCACAGCAGTATGGTAAAGAGTTCAGGATGCTGCTTTGTATTTAAGTATAGCATTAAAAAATCAAACAAAATAGTTTGTCTCCTAAACACAAATATTTAAATTATTTTATTAGAAATTAAAGAATCCAAATAATATGTAAAAGTAGGATGTAAGCTTTATACTAGAGTGAGATTAAATTGGTATCTATGGAATTATTGTTATTTTACTTAACAATAATATTAGAGATTCTAACTTAAATTTATCTTGAAATCATAGTTTTACATAATTTATACTTTTTTAAATACAAGAATATGAGAAAATATCATTATTGATTAAAAAAGATAAAATAGAAGAAACTGTTTTTAAACATTAAAATTATATATTATTTTATTGAACTAAGGCAATACTTTTCTTTTACTTTTTTCAATTAATATATAATATATATCAGGGGTGGCCAACTTTTGTGTACATAAGATCTAATTTTTATCTTAAAAATAAGTCACAATCGACTTGTTGTAGTAGGCATAGTCTAAGTGGCAAAGGGAAGTGTAAAATATATACTATGTTTAGATAGGTAAGTAAAGCCACAATTTAATTTAAAACATGAAGAAAAGGTACTTACATTTTAATTAAACAGAAGAAAAATTAAAACTCAACGTTGTCACTTTTGGGGACCATCACTTCGCCTTCTTCTCTCTACCATGTTCCGATCTACTCTCTCTCTGTCCTTCTTCCTGCCTTTCTTTTTTTCAGTTTTACAACCCTTTGTCTACATTTCTTATTCCCCTTTTACAACTGTACCCAAATGGATTGCAGATGGACCGACAAAATCGCATCTGCGGGAGGACGCGGAGGTCTGATATCACTACAGTTGCGTTTGCACGTTACGTTCATGCATTGCATTCAGTTACAAGTGTAACACGTTAAGTCAAGACATTGCAAGCGATCAACCAAAATTGGCTTCACGATCAACTTGTTGGCAACCCCTGATATATATGATATAATTGATATTTTGTAATGTATAAATTTTTACATTATTGTTTTTATTATTTAATATGATATAGCTTTAATTCTAAACATTTCATTTGTAATATATTATAAAATTGAAGATATTTTTTAACTTCTAGGGCTGAATTTTATTTTGGAAGAAAAGCCACATACAATTTTTGTGTTACTGAAGCTATGAAAAATGATTTGCTTCAGAACTGGAATATAATGTAAGAAAACACTCATGACAATGCATTATTAAGATTTAATTTTTTTTTTTTTAATGACTTGTTTTAAACGAGATTCATATTTTGTGTAATTTTTTAAAGAAATCTATAAATTTTTTTTCTCAATTTCTCTATTTATTTAAATTTTTAATAAAATAATTTTTTCTTTTATAGAGCTGAAGTATTGTATGATAGACCAGCTCCAATGTTTCAACCAACCAATTTACAAGACAAACATTCCTTACTGCTCAAACTAGAGAATGACTATCCTATCTTAAAATCATGGTAAGTATTTAACCAATTAAATCATTTAAAAACATAAATACAACAGTATATGCTTTATTACTTTAGATACAATACGTTTTTAGTACATATTTTCAAAATAGTATTATTTTATCAATGTCTATTGCACAAAATCTATTGTTGTTATCTTCTTAATTTAAATATTTAGTTTCTGTTACAAAAATAGAGCTGCTTTTTCATATAAATATCAAATATATCAATGAAACAAAAAGTTGATAGGGAACTTTTTGGAAAGTATCATTTTAAAGACAGGTATTGTATTGATATATAATTTTATGAATAGCTGATTTATGTCCAAAGAAATTTGACAGTTTTAGATTATCAGCTTCTATTACCAGCTATTATAGAATTCTACAACAAAATTTCAGCAAAAATTGCATGAAATTTTTGTATGTGATTTAAGGTATAAATGCAATCAAAGTAAAACTATAGAGTTTTTTTTTTTTGAGGAATTGATATGTTTTTATGTAGGTATATATTAGTAAAGAGATGCTGTATGTAATATGCTAACCTTATTTGATTCTTGGGTTCATAAAACATAAAATATAGACTTCTCTAAGAAGATACAAGTTTTATTAGTTTAATCAAATATAAACTTTTTGAACAAGTTTTTTATTACAAAACAAAATAGTTTTCTATTGATATTGCATATGTTTTAACAATACAGTTTTTTGATTATTTTAATAAATAATTATTCACATTAACTCTTTGTTTTACTCCATTGTACGGAAAAAATATTCATCTTAATGATCACAGCTTGCAAATAGTAATGAATACAAGTGTGTTTTTTGGATCCGTTTTGATTTTCTATCTTTATCACTAGTTTTTTTACTGAAATATTACATTTCAGGAACTAATATACTTATGTCAATAAATGGGCACTAATGTCATTTTTTGTGAGCCCTGATATAAGTTTTAACTGCTCCTTTTTTTTTCATTACTTAGAGACTTTTTTAGAAATAACTTTTACAATATACAATATTTGTATATCATATCATATTTATATTATATTACTTTAAATTTTTTTAAATGTTCAGTATTGTACTGTCCAAAAGAACTTTACTCTTATAAAAAATTTATGGATTATAAATTATATTTTCATTTAAAAATAGGATCATCAAAACAAAAAATAACTTTTTTGTTTTGATGAGAAACAATCTTCAAACATATTTCTACAAAATATATTAAAGATCTTTTGAATTAATTTACTAAATATGAAAATCATTGATTCAATTCCCATATTTGATTAAGAATTTTCCCTTTTAAGTATGTGTTGATTTAATTAGATTGATAGTTCACATTGTAAAGAATTTTGATTATTCTGAGCAAATCATTACTGAGACATCTGATTAAAAACAGAAACTTTTTTACCAAAATTTGATCAGTTACAAATAATACAAATGGATCTATAAAAAAAGTTTAATTTTCTTCTGTATATTATCATTTTCAGCAGATTAAATAATTTAAAATATATTAATTTAATGGCATTTTTTATTAGGGGAATTGCTACAACAAATGAACAAACTAATTTTACAGAAATTATTGATGGAACTGTGAATGAAAAATCTAATAGGCCAGCACTTATTGTCAGTAGTACAAGTTGGACAGGTAAAACAGATTTAAATATTTGATCTTTTTGCTTTAATTAATTATTTAATATTTATTATAATTACAGAAGATGAAGATTTTGGTATTCTTCTAGAAGCACTACAAGGTATTATTTTATTTCTGAATCCTTTTACTTAATGCTTATTAAAAAAATCCTTTAAAAATATTGATTTTAAAAATGTTCAAACATTAATATTTAAAAAATCCAGCAACAAGTTGCATAACTTTTCTGACTGTTATGAGATTTTATTTAAAAAATAACTTTTTTTTTATTAATTATAATAAAAAGGTAAAAGCCTTAATTTGATGATATAGCTGAGTTTTTAAAAAATATAAATGCTAATGATGATTAAAATTTTCATAAAATCTGACCTCATTTGAGATATGATGACTTCCCTCTATCTCCCCACCACTCAAACTTTAACTACCGAAATTTAATAGCTTCAATGTCCCTTATATACAAGTTACTATGCCAAATTTCATTTCTGAATTTTTACCTCATTTTGAAATATTAAACAAACTAGAACTAGATACCAAAACACACACACACACGAATTTTTTCCTGTACTTTTTTGGGTTTAGGGAGTCTCAAAATATTGAAAAATGCCTAGAGGATCAATTCTGACACAATTCCAATACTTTCCTGTATTATATTCATAATAGCCACGAAAGTAAAAATATGTATAAATATGGCAAATTATTGAATAAAAATTTAGTTCATGTTTATTTTTATAACAAATTTTATTATCTTTTATTAATTAATTAATTTTCTGGTATTCAATTTTTATGTGTTTCTAGTTTTAATAGTATTAATCTGTTTATATCTAGTATATTGAAAAAAGTTAATTAATTTATTATATATGAGTATTACAAACTTAAATTTTAAAACATAACTATATGGGAAATTCTTGATTTCTGAAAATTCTTCCCTTTCTCTCTCTCTCTCTCTCTGTTATTAAAAAGAAATATTTAAAAATAATTGCTTAAAATTTTGAATCTTAATCTATTTGAAATACAGATTTATTTATTTCACATAAAGTTGTATACAACGCAATAAAAGATTGAAAACTTAAAATTTGTACAAAAAAATTTTGTTAGAATCAAATGAATATGTCAATTGATACTTTTCAAATATATTTTCTCTATATTATGTTTATCAACATGACCAAAATGAACTTGATTTTAATAAATTTGCTATTAGATAAGGTAGTAGAGACATGTGTGAAATAGTGGCATGCAGTTTATGGAAGTTGTGGAAGTACAGCTTCCTTTGTATTTTCTAAAATATAAATATGTATTGTGTGATTACTTTCATAAACAAGTTCTTATATCTTTCTTTCATGTCAATGTATCTATTTTAGAATTAAAATAGATAAACCGTTTATTTTTGTCATTTCCAATATTTGTTTATAATTTTTATGGAAAATGCAGCTTCCCTATCATCAAATGTCACCACACACCACTGGTGTGAAAGAATATTGATAGATTTATCACTTTAGCTTTTATTTTTGGATCCAGTTCAAAATTCCAACAATAAAAATCTTGATTTTCAAAATCATAACATGATCAAAAGCCAACAGGTCAAAGTTCTGACAGAATCAAAAGTGTGACAAGTCAAAATCATGATGGAATCAAAAACTCAATGGGTCAAAATTCCAACAGAATCAAATTAACAATCCAAATCCCAACTGAATCAAAAACCTGACAAATCAAATCTTATCAGATGAAAATTTGACATGCTATAAAATCGTCAGTTATCAAAATTCATGCAAACAAATTTCTGTTTCTGTTTCTGTAATGAGCCAGTGTCAGACCACTGTGAAAAAATTTTATTAATTAACAAAATTATAAAACAAAATATTTTATATTAAAATTGCAATAGTTTCAAATTAAAAAAACATTTATTTTTAATTAATTTTATTTATTGATGGGAGAAGAAATGAAAAGATGAAACTAGTCAATTTTAAGATGATTATAGCTTGGAAACAATTTATTTTCTTGAATATAAGTGAATTGAAATTTAAAAATTATTATAAAATTAATAGTTAATCAATTAACTGTTAAAATTTTATGGATTGTTCTAAGGAATTTGAATGTTGTTGATATAGAAAAGCACATCTCATCAATAAAATGTGATAGCATAAAGCTACAGATGTACAGAAATAGACTCATATATAAATACATAATAATACATTACTTTAATATATAATACTGTATAATTAATTATTGTAAAGCAAAATTTATTTGTTTGGCACATACTATTATATCATCTATTAAACATTTGTTGAATTAAATTTCTTTTATGCTCTTTTTTGTTTAAATTCTACAAAACTGTCAATAGGAAGTTCCTTGAGATCTGCAAAAATTTATTTATAAAAGTTTTCTTTGGTTGAAGAATACTTAGGAACATGACAATATTAGGCTTTTGATTATGATCACATTTTGATTCTGGTAGTGGGATTTTGACTTGTCAAGCTTTTGATTGTGTCAGGTTTTTGATCAAATCTCATTATTTTTATTTTTATATATATATATATGTCTAGAAGGGAAGTTTCAGTTGTTTTCTCCATACATCTAAATTTACTTTGATTTATATCATTGTTATGTAATTTTATTTGTTAAAGTAATAAATTAACATCAAATCTTAAGGAATTTACACTATTAATTACACTACTAAATAAAACTTTGTTTTAAAGCTTTTTGTTTGTTGAAGTATGATATTTTATGATAAATTTATTTTAAGATCACAGAATATAAAGTAACAATATTACTTAATTAATTTATATATATGATATAGAATATGAGACTGCTGCAGTTAAAAGTAACAGTTTACCAAACATTGTGTGTATTGTGACAGGTATTTTGAAATTTTTTTATTTATAGAGCTTAATACATAGAAAAGCATTTAAAAATTTGTTTCATTTTCAGGCAAGGGTCCTCTTCAATTTCAATTTTTAAGTCTAATTACCAAAATGAATTTTCAGCATATTGTTATTATAACACCATGGTTGGCAGCTGAGGATTATCCAAAATTGCTAGGTAGTCTAAATAAAATAAATTGAATAATTATTTTCAATTTAAGTAATTAATTAAGTTAAAACTGTTTCAGGAAGTGCAGATCTGGGTGTGTGTTTACATATCTCATCAAGTGGTTTAGATCTTCCAATGAAGATTGTTGATATGTTTGGATGTGAATTACCTGTTTGTGCTGTTAGCTATAAGTGGTAAATGATTTCAATAAGTTTATTTTTATCATAAGAATTTATAATGAACTTTCTCACTAAAATAAAATGTACATATTTTCCTGTTTTTTATTTGTAAATTATTTTTAGTAGCTTAACTATTACTTAATACATTTATTTTTAAAGATTTTTGTGTTAATCAGGCTGAAAACGTTTGTTTTCAATTATATATTTTCCCAGCAACAAATTAAGGTGTTTTATTTTTTATGTGACTTTTGTGTATTTTTCATTGGAAATGTTTCTTAAATTGATAATAACTTCTGAAATTCTGATTAACATAGAATTTTGCCATAATATGGATACATTTTCTTTATAGAAAAGATTTTCTTTGATTAAGATTATGTTAACAGCAAAAATAAAATAATCTGTTGAAAATAAATTGTAAATTAAACAAACTTAAATTTCAAAATTATCTGTAAGTTATTGACTATTAATATTATTATTTAATCAGAATTTATTTTTTGAATGCAAAGTATATTTGTCATAATAAATCTTTTAAAAATTCTATGAAACATATGTATTCATAAGAAAATCTTTCATGAATATTAGTAAACAGAAATTTGTGTAATTTATATATTATGTTTCTGTCAAATAATAAGAAATTAAAACAGGTAGAATGTTATATGAAATAGCAGTTTAGCTTCTTTTGATCTTTAGTTTTTATGTATAGTTATTTCTATATAAAATTAAGTAAATTGATTCAATCCAAAAACTTTTTATTCCTTTGACACAAAGAACCTTGTACAATCATGTCTTACTATTCATGACTTTATAACACTAACAGTAAATGTTATAGAATATAAATATAAAATGTCTCAACCCTGGGTTGTTCACAGATTAAAACTTTCCAATCATTGACCTCTTGGGAAACATCTATCTGTAGTGATACTAACATGTGCATTACAAACTATTATCTTATTTAGGTTCATTAGACTAATGAATGTAAATAACCATACCTGACAAACTTTTTATTCTAGTGTCAAATGATAAGAATTACAGTACTTATATTGCTAGTTCACAAGATGTTAGTTAATGATAATTACAACAAGATAATCAATAGATAAGCATACCATATAAAATGATAGAATTTTAAAAAATATCAGATTTTTAAAAAATACATTCTACATCAATATTATTTTAAAAATATCTGAAAAATTATTTATTTATATAGTTTAAATAGTAATATAATCAATATAATATTTTGTTGGAATTTTTTAAATTCATATCAATTTATCATTGTATGCAGGGTTCTAATTATAACCATTAATATAGCATAGATAATTTTATAGATAATATAGATAATAGATAATTTTATAGATAAAATAGATAATATAGATATAGTTTTTCTTTTCAAATCCAAAATATCATGCTTATACTCTTCATAATAATTGTAAATGATTATCAGACAAATCAGACAGAACATATAATTAGTATATTTTATTATGTCTTTGAACATTAATTAAAATAATTTCTATTTTTAATAATAAAATTCATTTTTAAGTTTAAACATTTGTTTTACAGCCTAGATGAATTAGTGAAAGTTGGAGAAAATGGACTAATGTTCAAAGATGCCAAAGAATTAGCTTCTCAACTTCAGGTATGATTAATAATAAATATAATATAAAGTGAATTCATAAACATGTTATAAAATAATTATAAAATTAATAAATTAATTACAAAAATAAAATTATTTAAATATCCAAATTATTGAATAATAATGGATTATTTAGAAGAAAATTATTATAGTTTACCACTCTATAATTTTGTTTAAAAATTGACTGTTGTATATATTATGATAAATGTTACTTGAGCTTTTAAAATATGATGAAAAAAAGAGTGCTATTTTTTTATTAAAAAAATCTTTTTCCATCTTAAAATCTGAAAATTCACCTATTATGAGCAGTGAAAAAGATATTCTACTTAAATATATAACTTATAAAACGTCTGCCAATTAGGGACAAAAAAGTTTGAAATACAAGAAAATTTTGTATACACTTGCAAATAAACATTTATTCCTTTTGAACCAAGAGATTAATCAATCTTTCTAATTTCATCCACAGTATAATAAGTCCAGTTAATAGATTATAGTCATAATAGATCAGGGGTTGCCAAACTTTTTTGATTGTCGACCCCCTACAACTTTTCAAAACCTCACATCGACCCCCATCAAAAAGTTTGTGTTACAAGCAAAAAAAAAGCTCTTACTATTTTAATATATATCTTTTAATTTTACATTTTTTACATTTATTGTACATATGTTAATAATAATTTTTGTAACTGACAATCAATAAGACAGATAAGCTTGATAAATCTTAGCAAGATTAGCAATATTCGGTTCAAAATTTGTTTTTTCATCGACTCCCCCAATAATGTTATATTGACCCTAGGGGTCAATATAGACCACTTTGGCAATCCCTGTAATAGACCAATATTAATTTTTTTAAAATATTATGCTGTTTATTTAAGATAGTCAAATTGATTGATTAATTATATTATAAAATTGAGAAATTATAATTTTAAAATATTTCTGTAAATATACATTGCTTTGATAGTTGTGATTTGTTACAGAATACTCTGTTAACAAAAATTTTGAAGAATTTTTTCTGTAGGATTTTTTTGCATTAAAATTTTTTTAAATGTAAAAATGTAACAAATGTGCTGATAGAAAATATAATAATTTTTGTGGTAAAACAAGCGTAACCTGATTAGTTTATATCAATTTGCTAAAGTTAGTATTGAGAACAGCATTAATCTTTTTCTTTATCTTCGCCTTTTCCCATGTTTATATGGGTTCGGCATTTCCTTCTCTAATACGTTTTTTCCATTTCTTCCTTAAGAGAGAAGCAGCTCTTGCTGAACCAGCTCTTTGCAGCTCTTGCAGCTCTTAAGAAAGCAGCTCTTTCTTGAACCAGATGGGACTTAAGAGAGAAGCAGCAAGAGCTGCTTCTCTCTTAAGTCCCATCTGGTTCAAGTCTTCTTCCACCTTATCTTTCCAACACATCTTTGGTCTTTCTTTTCCTCTTTTCTTTTACTACCAATTTTCCAATCTTCTTTCCAACATAATTGTCACTTCTTCACTCTACATGGCTAAACCATCTCAACCTACATTCTTGCATCTTTTTTGCTCAAGGGGCCCACCTTAACAGAACCTCTAATAAAACCATTCCTTATTCTGTCCTTCCTTGACACTCCACACATCCATCACAACATTCTCATTTCTGCCACCTCCATCTTTCTTGGCGTCTTGTTATTGTCCATGTCTCAGCTCCATATAACATTGCAGGTCTAACAACTGATTTATACAATTTTCCTTTTCAGATTGTAGCTAACTTTCTTGTTGCATAACACATCACTCAGCTTCCTCCAGTTCATCTATCCACATTGAATTCTATGCTGCACCTCTGAGTTCAATTCTCCTCCCATCTCGAGAAATGTCCCAAGATATTTAAAACTCGGAACAAAAGGGAGCGGCACACTCCCTTTTGTTCTGAGTTTTTGGATTTTAATATTACACTCATTTTGGATTTTAATATTACACACATTTTGGTTTTTAATATTACACTCATCCTACCATTCAGAGTCATATAAGCTGTTTTAGTTCTGCTAATCTTCATGCCCCTTTCTTCCAAAATTTTCCTCCATTCTTCCAGTTTCTTCTCAGCCTTGGTTTGGGAAAGTTCACACAGCACAATATCATCCACAAACAGCATACTCCATGGAGCCTCACACTTTACGTCTCACACCATCACATCCATATCAGGTCAAACAAATAAGGGCTAAATCCCTGATGCAAACCAACATTAACGAAGAACCCTTCTGTAGTGACCTCACTACTCTTAACTTGGGTCTCTGCTCCCTCATATTTTTCCTTGATGAGCCTAACATATTTTTTCTGGAACATTCTTTTCTTTCAAATGTCTCCATATCTCTTGCCTTGGTACCCTATCATATACCTTTTGTAGATCTATGAACACTATGTGCAACTCTTCCTGCATTTCCCTGTGCTCTAAAACAGCTGATGGAAACATCAGCTCTAAAACAGCTGATGTTTCTATCAGCTGTTTTAGAGCAAAGATAGCATCAGTCATACTCCTTTCCGGCAAAAAGCCAAACTGTTCTTTTCCAATCTCAGATTCCTGTCTAATCATTCTTTTTACAATTTTTTTCCAAATCTTCATAATATGGGACAATATCTTTATACCTCTGTAATTTCCGCAATTCTGTACATTCCCTTTACCTTTAAAGATTGGCACAAGAATGCTCTTCCTCCATTCACCTGGGATCTTCTCCTGCTGCCAGAGTTTCTTCATAAAGTCCCAGAGGATATCAATTCCCTCCTTATCCAAATCTCTCCAAGCCTCAACTGGAATCCGATCAGTGCCTACTGCTTTCCCCATCTTCATTTTCTTAAGAACACTTTCCACTTCTTCTCTGCTAATATCTTAACACCTTACTTAGTTACTTAGCTTACTTAACACCTTCTTTAACATCTTACTGTTTCTCACTTCTCTCAGATGTCTCCTATGGCACAATAAAAAATCAATCTGGCTGGATTTACCTCTACTCATGTATGTAACCAGTTGATTCGCTTTCTTCTCAAAGTAGGTGTTAACTAGCGCAAGGTCAAAAGCCACAGCATGATCGACTACATTAATAATGAGAACAGCATTAATAATAACCAAAAATAATCATAGTGATTTGTACAATTCACAATTAAATGAAAAATTGCTATTACAGTATACTTCCAATGATTCAAGCTAATGATGGAGAGAATGTAGAGAAAATAGAATGCACAGAAAATAAAAAACATGGATAAACCAACAAGTGAAGAAAATTATTATAGTTTACCACTCTATAATTTTGTTTAAAAATTGACTGTTGTATATATTATGATAAATGTTACTTGAGCTTTTAAAATATGATGAAAAAAAGAGTGCTATTTTTTTATTAAAAAAATCTTTTTCCATCTTAAAATCTGAAAATTCACCTATTATGAGCAGTGAAAAAGATATTCTACTTAAATATATAACTTATAAAACGTCTGCCAATTAGGGACAAAAAAGTTTGAAATACAAGAAAATTTTGTATACACTTGCAAATAAACATTTATTCCTTTTGAACCAAGAGATTAATCAATCTTTCTAATTTCATCCACAGTATAATAAGTCCAGTTAATAGATTATAGTCATAATAGATCAGGGGTTGCCAAACTTTTTTGATTGTCGACCCCCTACAACTTTTCAAAACCTCACATCGACCCCCATCAAAAAGTTTGTGTTACAAGCAAAAAAAAAGCTCTTACTATTTTAATATATATCTTTTAATTTTACATTTTTTACATTTATTGTACATATGTTAATAATAATTTTTGTAACTGACAATCAATAAGACAGATAAGCTTGATAAATCTTAGCAAGATTAGCAATATTCGGTTCAAAATTTGTTTTTTCATCGACTCCCCCAATAATGTTATATTGACCCTAGGGGTCAATATAGACCACTTTGGCAATCCCTGTAATAGACCAATATTAATTTTTTTAAAATATTATGCTGTTTATTTAAGATAGTCAAATTGATTGATTAATTATATTATAAAATTGAGAAATTATAATTTTAAAATATTTCTGTAAATATACATTGCTTTGACAGTTGTGATTTGTTACAGAATACTCTGTTAACAAAAATTTTGAAGAATTTTTTCTGTAGGATTTTTTTGCATTAAAATTTTTTTAAATGTAAAAATGTAACAAATGTGCTGATAGAAAATATAATAATTTTTGTGGTAAAACAAGCGTAACCTGATTAGTTTATATCAATTTGCTAAAGTTAGTATTGAGAACAGCATTAATCTTTTTCTTTATCTTCGNAACGAATGAGCATCCTCTTTGTATAATACTTATAACTTTAAGAAAATTTATTTGGAGAATAAAGAATTATTATATGTATTGATTTAGATCAATAAATTTCTTTTTATGGCACATTTATAAAGGATTTACAAATGAAATGATAGTGACAATATTGTCAATTTATAGACATCAATTCTTAAATAAAACTTTTCAAAATAATGTATATGAATTCATTTTTAACATCTGACAACGGGAGCCACTGAAATAAGATAGGAATTTGTCAGTCATGTGTTTTGTCATTGTGATGACGGTTTTCTTTTTGTTTAATATTGTATGTTTAAATCTATCAAAGAAATATTTTTCTACAACTAAATTTTTAGAGTTATAAAAACTAATGAAGGAAAAGATCATTCATTTCTTATATAACAGATATAAATTGAGCAATATTGTGTATTGTTTATATTTATTTATCATCATTTAATTTGTCAAAATTTTACGAGCAATTTTTCTTTAATTTTTTTGAGCAACAAGAGTTGTCCTGAGCTGATGATTCAGAAATATGTAAATATTGTATATGCAATATTTACAGTGTATAAAATAGAGTGCAAAAACACTGTAAATATATATATGCAATATGCAAATATTGCATATATACAGTGGAACCTGTATATTCATCATTAATTAATTTGTTCTAAGGATCTAACGAATATGGAAAATGATGAATATACAAAATTTTTTCTCATAATAAATA